AGCTATATCTTCATGAAATTGTATTTATAAGTTGGTATGGCTTCGACATTATTAGGCTGCCAAACCAGCAGCCCTGGCTATGGAGACTACGAACAACGTAAAGTTTCATGATTAAATATTGAACTTGAAGACATGTTAATTAAAGTATATCCTGTATGATCTCACCTTGCTTAGACATGTTGCAAACACTTTGCTTTCCACTCAGTTTCAAAGATTACATCAGAATGTCTGAAAAATTTACACATAATACAATGTTTAAATATTAGCAAGCAAAGCAATTATAATACATGTATATACTATTTAACAGCAAAAGCTGTACAGCCACTGGGGGTGTCCAAACATAACAGTACAATCCGAAAATAGTCTCATCAGGTTGATAAAGTATAGGATATAAGGGTTTTCTTCTACACAACCAAATGTTCGTACCTGCTAACGTTTCGGTGTCTATCAGTGACAAGAAGCAGAACTTGTTCCCCTTGACCTCTTGAAAAGCGGCTCAGGCCGAAGAGTGGTACTATTACATACTGTACATTTTCAAGGCTAAATAAAGATTTAAAAAAAAAAGAACTCCAGTCAGAAGCTCTGAAGAAGGTGTCTGGTAGACACCAAAATGTCAGCAGGTACGAATAGTTGGTTGTGTGAAAGACAACCCTTATATCCTGTAATATCCTATAACAGTATATACTTCTGCTACACACTACAAGGAAATGTGTAGCAGGGGATTCCCGGCCTTCTTACCTGTAGCACTAACACATTACAAGGAAGTGAAACTAACGTGTTGACTTTAAAAGTTACAGAACAAAAGTCTAGCTTGACAACTACGTACTGAAAGATTTTAAGTTGTTGTTTCATGACACCCTAACATCAGCTGTTAAAATAACGGCCAGCTTACCTTTCCTCAAAACAAAGAACTTACTGTTTCCTTCACTTCCTGTCTGAATCATGGTGGTGTCTCTGGCTTCTCATGAAAGTGTTACAGCCTTTGTCATTGGTCACTTCTGTGAAGGACAGTACTGTTGTTTAGTATTGAGTGACTCTTGTTGTTTATTTTGTATGCAGCATTTCCAGTATTTTCATGATACACCTTCCAAAGTTAACCTTGTCTATTACTCAAATGCAGCAGAAAATCACTTGAACTCTTCTATTTTTATAAAATAAGGTAATCTATAAAGTATAAACAAGTAAAACAGTAAACAGTACCCTGGCAAACAGTAACAAGGCAAACAGTAACAAGGCAAACAGTAACAAGGCAAACAGTACCCTGGGTTTCCTTAAGCGTAAAATAAGGGGTGCGACCCATGAGGTAAGAGCTATTAAGCCTACACAACACTAGTGAGACCCAGGCTGGAGTATGCAGCTCCAGTCTGGGACCCACTCAAACGCCAACATGCACAATCCAACACACTACAGGTCAAACTTGAGTCAGTCCAGAGACGTGCAGCCACAGCGATTACAGACACACCACCAGTGCCACACAACTAGTACACAACCTGGGATGGCCCACATTACAAGCCCACACAACCTTGTTGCCATTCCTTTACACAATCTCACCACTAGGAACACCAACAGAACCAGATGTCACCCACTACGCCTGCAAAATTCTTACTGACTTCCTCTTCATGGTCCATTACACCTGTAGGAATGCACCTGTACAGAACACACCCCTCAAGGTCATGCAGGGTGAAAGTTCACAGATGACTGGCAATGTCAATGCTGTGGTCTAACTGTGGTTGTGACATTGATGTTGGTGTTGAGTTATTTTGTCTTCATAGCCCTGCTGAATGCATGAATGCATGCGGGTGGTATTTCTAAGTGGTTTGAGTGTAACAATCTGTTCGGTGTATATTATTAACTACTAATCATTTGAATGTTTCAGTGTCAGAATTTGCAGGAAGACAGTACCCAGGGGTCCTACTCCTATCAGCCAGACGGTACGTCCTTCCAAAGCTACTGGGTCGAGGTGTCAATCACATCTGTCCCCATGGCAACCATTGTTCCATCCTTCCTGTCTCCACGGTTACGGAGTGACTCCAAGGATACTGTTTCCCCCGACAACTGGAGCCACGCCCGTGGATGGATGGGAGGAGGCAAAGATGTCAGAATACCGGGCATGAAAGGCATGTATTACCGCACGTTGGCAGAATGTACTTCGCCTTTGTGAAACCCTGATTTTTACGATTTTCGTTTTTGCAACCCTGCATCAGAATTTTGCCTGTTGCAGATATCTTTTCCAACACAACTTTTGGAAACTATAGATGGGGTGTTTCAATGTTTCCCATCGTATTATCAGGTAACCCTCCCTACAAGTGTATGGTTCTGGACGTGGACATGAACAAGAAGAGTGACCGGGTGGAGTGGTGCACCCTGCGTTACCATGGCAACTACACCCCTGGATGTTCCTTTGAGTTTGAGGTGCAGTGGATGGTCACCACACCCAATATCCTGTATGATCTGGTGAGTGGCACGAGCTTGAATTTTCCTTCTAGTTGTCAATGTGAATAGTTTCATTCAATTGGTAAGTCACTGAAATAAAAGGACTTTTTTTGTGTACAACTGTGATGAGGAGGGATATAAAATCAATCACGTTTGGGACCACATTCTTAAGAAGTAGATGTTAATTGTTGCTCTGTTTTTTAACTTGACCACAATTATGTATATATTACGCTCCTGTACGTTTGGGACTGTATTGTAAATACTGTTCCCTTTTTGTATACATATACTAAATACTTTGCAGTTGGGAATGCATCTATATTCAGCAACACCTGTGCCGCACATTGTGTATGCATCAGTCACTAACAAACCTTGTGCTGGATTTTGTATTTTGCTTGGTCTATAGAGTTTCCCTGTCTCTCTCTGTAGCTGTCTGGCTGGGCCAGAAAGGCTGCCAGCTGTGGGTTCCACCTCGTGCCCGTGCCCTACGACCCTTTTGCCCTCCCCGAGAGCTCCACCCACGATCCTTTGCGAAGACCTCAGTTCATCCCACTCCAGCTGGAGGGGTGTTTGGGGGAAGGTCAAACCAGCTTGTTTGAAGGTCAGTGATCAAGTCTATCAGAAACATCATTTTATTCATTTCAAGTGGCATGGGTGGTGTAATGGTTAGGGTCTTTAGCCCAGAATTAAGAGGTTGATGCCCTTATGCCCTTGGAATTTAAATTTTGTAAATTTCCCAGTTCAACAAAATTGGGCAGGGTAAGTTCGTTCCCATGCAGCCTGCATACATGTAACTGTTGCTTCTACTATTGGATCAAGTATTCCTCATGATCTCTTTCAATGTGTCAAACTTGTCTTGCCCCTAAAAAACAAGAATCTCCGGCATGATGCTTCTGTCTCACGGAAAAGAGATGCTTGCTGTGTCTGTCCTATTCCTGACATCCATTCTACATGTACTTTAAAATTCAGTCTCCATCTTTATTTGTCAGAATTTGTTGCTGACACCCACAGTGAGCGGCTTCAGCTCTTCCAGGAGGCCATTCTGAAGAGGTGGGTTGTTTAGTGGAAAGTTTACAGCTAACTTGTTGGTTGACATCGCGGTTCTTTTGTCAAAGTCTGTTTACATATACACACATTTGAGCTTGCTGTTTATGGCATTTTATAGAGAGCCATCAATCATATTTACATGTATCATTTCCAATTTCATATTAATCATCTCCAATATTGTCCTCCCAGGTTTGGGTTCGTGCGAGACAACAGCCGCCCAGGCAGTGGCAGCTACTACCTCCAGCAGACCAACCGGCTGCAGTTTGTGCACGAAACTGGGGTGGCGCTGGTGCAAATACCCGAGTACAGGTCCAAACCGCAAGGCCTTCAGAAATTCAAGACTCCGTTTTCCCACGTTAACGCAAGCGAAACAAGAGCGCCGGAAGTTTCAAACAATGAAACAAGGACTAGATATCCGTCTGCACAGAATGGGAATGATGAGGAAGGAAAGGTGGGTTTCTACTGGACATACAACTATGTACTGACGAAACGCTGGCGTTCTAGCTCCACTGGGGAGGAAAAGTTTGGAGAGAGACTGCTGGCAGACTTGACAAGCTTCTGTTTGGACCAGGACTGGAGGCTGAGAGATTTCTGGAAGGAGAGTCAACACGGGCCTCTAGAATCTGCCCTTGGGCAGTGACAAAGTGCCAATGAATAGTTAGAAGAAGACAGTATCGTAATTTTACAAGTCCATAAGATCAAAGGCTGAGATTATTAGTGAGCCAGTGAAACACATTGCTGAATCACACAAACAATGTTAGAAAAAGTTATTTTGAAAGGATGCCAATTTCAAGAGTTAGTGCATAACTGTAGTTAGGAGAAAATGGCCAAGCATTGAATGTTATAAAAACATTATCTTTTTTTAATTTATAATAATAGATCTATAATCTATGATTGATTGAGTATGGGCTGTATCTGTATGGCCTTATCATTCTATAACATATTACTGTTGAGAATCAAGAGAGTTTGCCTGCATAAGAGAAGAAAAACTATGAACAAAATAGTGATCAGGTGCACTTTTTTTATTGATTGGGTATATTTTTTGGCCGTATGTACAGAGACATGCCTAGGGCATTATACTTAGCCTATTTGGACAACATACACAGTACTCTTCCTATAGGAAACCAACACGCACATTTAATTATATACTTTACACAAAATGAGCCTCCAAAAAGTTTGGTTGGTTGGATTTTTTTAAACAATGAAGCAAGACAATCATTACAAAACCCAACTCATAGATCTAGAAGGCATCAAGTCTTAAATGTAGCGATTTGCACAATGATCGTGGGATGAATTATTGTAGACAGTAGAAAACCTTTTGATAAGAAAAAGCTTTCAGTAGTTTCACACATTAATTATAAGAGATGAATACAGGGGATCCAGCAAACTTTGATGGCTTAAAGTATAAACTCAATGGCTTTCACAGTATTTTTGTGTACCCAGTTCTTCCCCTGCTTTGCCAAATGCAACACAGAATGTCAGCTAGCAAAGAAGAGAACTTGTACTTAGTTTCATCAGGTAGTGGAGCCCAATTTAGACTTGATTTTGATAGCCAAAAATTCAGTTGAAAATTCAAGCATTTGATTCAGTGAATGCTTTTGGAAATGATGTCAGGTTCCTCTGTGGTCCATTCCTGTATCATCATCATCTTAGCATGGTCATTTTCAAAGTGATGAATGAAATATGTACAGCAGAAAGCAACAATTTTTACATCATAATTTTTGTCTATGGAAAGTTATCAGCTTATTGCTTATAGTGGATTCTTTTCCATAACAATTGTGGTGACAATCACTTGTTTTTCCAAGGAGAAAGATGACAAAATACAACTTTAAAACCTTTCAGATACTAACACTATAGGTACATTGTAATACTGATGTTACATCACATAAAACAATAGTTGACATCAGTCCATCTTGTAGCATATGCTTTGATATGTGACTTGTCATCTGATAAACTAAAAGGGTTTCTTAAAAGCTCTGATAGTTATTTCATCTAAAAGCATGTTACCTGTTTAAAAGCATATTTACACGCAAGCAATGCCACCCAAATTTCGTATTACACTTTCTTAGAACCGCAACCGCTTTTGCCACCTACTTCAGTTTACAAATCCTTATGTTAAAAAACACAATGATAGAGAATTCTAGAAATCTGTACAAGACATTGCAAAATACAAAACGGAGAAGTTATTAAGGAAAACTGACAATATTTGGAGATGACGTTTTGCTTTGACAGTACTTAGTCCATTGGTGACATAACACTGGTCAGTTTTCTTAGAGGTAACATACTCTGCACTCTAGAACATTATCTCACTTTCAAAAGAGGAAAAAAAGTTGTACATAATTTGTTGTTCATCTAAGCTACTAGTACATTCAGAAAGCATGTAATATCTATACTGGCAGTGAATCCTGGCCTAGACTTGACAGCAGGACAGTTCCCAGATGTAACTACAGTACTTCATACTGTATTAAGAGTCTCTGAAGCGAAATCTTTCACCTAAGAATGGAAATAGTAATGTAATCAAATACATGACAACCTTATTTTTTTCTCTCGTATTAAGAAGACAGAGAGTGTCTGACATTGGTTACTTTCTTTGATATGCAAAGCTAAGAATCCTTTCAAAAACTAGCAAGGAAGCTGACAAGGAAAAGCAAATAGCTTTCCATTCCAAGTTGACCATGATCTTAAGTACATAGTTCTATCTATGTAAAGGCTGTAACAGTTTTCACTGGACTACTGTTGAGCTGCGCGCGCGTGCTCTCTAGTTGGGAGTATGACCCGAGACCGAACAGTCCGAAATCCATGTCGGTGGTCGTCGTGGACGTGAGGCTACTGGTGACGTTCGTGTCCAGGAGAAGTCCGTCCTCCCCAAGGGCGTTCAGGTCGTCCAGGAGGGAGTTGTTGAGATGGGTGGAGGCAGAGGTCAACGGTGGGTCAACCTGTGGGGTGAAAGGTCAGGTCAAGGGTCAAGATCATTGTTTCTTTCTTTCCAGGCTGGTTATTAAAATGAGTTTAGCAGCTGCTAGCAATAGCAAGACTTACATGTAAGCTGTAGCACTCTATATAATGACAGGGCTCTTGTACATGTACTAACAGTAATACTGGCATACATGTTCATTGCTAGGTACTACGTGTATGCGAATCAAGAGAAAGTAAATCATAGCATCAGCAAAATGAAGAAAGATGAGAGGCCTGAACTGCCTGATATTTGTTTAGTGTTACTTCAAGTTCAACCACAGAAAAATGATTCCAAAGCACACCTTGAACCAAAAGTTTATTAAAGCTGCAGCAGTACCACAAACCAAACCAAACCAACACCAAGCAAGCCTGCCACAATGTCAGAAAGTGTCTGCATTTATCCAGCAAAGACACCCATAGCTTTGATACGCTTAATACATATGTTACTATGCTTTAAAATTTGGTCTGGTGGAGGGATTTTTTCTGTTTGATATTGAAATGTTCATAAAAATGCAACTGAATATCATTGTGCAACTTCGTCAACTTTTTGTAAGTTTTCCTTTGAAAACCATACTTGATTTGCCATTGCCAAACAAGGCACACACTTTCATCTGAAGCATGTTACAAAAAAAAGGTGGAGAAAGACTGACACTTTCCATTCATGATTGTAGGTTATTGTCAACTGGATGGTTTGTCATCCTATTAAGAAAATAGAAAATGGTAAGGATGAGTTTTCCAGGTCATTTAGTGAGTAGTTAACATGCACAACTCTCCCCAAGAAAGCCCTTAGTTTGTGATTGTCCAACAATTATAGGACAGATATCAATGTGACTTGGTCATAAGCAAATTGTGACTCCCCAGGACTTGTAAGTGGTATTTAAGTTCCAAATGATGGACAGATCATGGTCACACCAAACCAAACAAATGACGAATATAATGATGATTCACCTCCAAGAAATATAGTACCTGCGGGTCCATCAAACTAGTCTCCACCCTCAGTAGGTCGTTCACGGCGTCTTTCGTCGTTTGGTCGTCCGGTAACCGAGGGATCGGATTCGCGACGGGTTCCACACGTTCCACAGGTTTGAAGTTGCTCTCTACCGGTTTGGGGTAGGGGTTAGCACAGAACTTCTTGCCCTCCTTTACTATGTCTGGAAGGTATTCTGGTGCAGAAAGAAGAAGTCGGAAAAAATTATGTCAATGAATGACTCAAAAACTTAACATTCTTATGCACAAGTAAAAAAGAAATAGACATTAAAGTTTTGTTGTATAACCATAAGTAAGACAAGATTCTGCATACTATTTGGCCAATTTCTACTCCTTCCAGCCACCTCTGAAGCCTGATACTAGCAGATAGAGGCTGCTTGTCTGTGATTATTTCACAAAGTGGTCCAGTAAGTTACTGGCCAGTAACACATGATTTTTACTGCATTCTGACATTGATTGCAGGTTCGTGTGCTATGCTACTAACCTGGATTTGCCATACATCGTCTGATGGCTTGCGGATCTTTTCTCGTGATCTTCTGAACCTCTTCCTCCATCTTGGCAACCTTGGCCGGGTTCAGAGTCCACAGGCACCCCTTCTTACTGGTGCCTCCCGTGCTCTTCTCCACCTTCTCAAAACACTTGTTCAACGACAGGTTATGTCTCACCGAGTTCTTCCACCCGTCCGGAGCAGTCTTGAAGTAAGGAAAGTTATCGCACATGAAGTTGTATATCTCGCTGACGGGCAGGCATCCCGTCTTGCTGTTCTTTAGCGCCATCGCTATCAAGCAGCTGTAGGAGTACGCGGGTTTCGGGTAGACCTTCTCGGTCTCCGTTTTGTCCTTCTGCGCGATTTTGGGCTGCTTCGGAGCCGGCTCCGACGTTTGGTCCAGCTGCCGGTGGGTCTGGGTGATGGGCGTGGTCACGCTGGTTGCCATGGTAACTGGCAGGGGCCTCGTCATTGGTTGGGTGACATAGGTCGGAGAGAGGGGCTGGTTGTTGGACGCTGGCAGGACGTTGATGTACTGGGGGAAGAACTGGGCCTGCAGTACCTGTGGGGACTGCTGGGGGAGCTGCTGCATGGACGGAACAGGCGACGCCTGGAACTGGGTGGCCGTGAACACCCCTTGTACTCCAACACCTGAGAAAAAAAATCAAGACGAAAAGTTTAATTGCCACTTGCAGCAGTAGCTCACTGCCAGTAAGTACTAACATGCATTTAGCCATTCTAGCGAATAGTATCTACTTGCATGGACAATTTCTGACAGTACACTACTACAATATCAATTTTGTTCTCACGACAGCCCAAAAGAGAAAAATCACTAATACAGAACTACATGTAGATGCTCCACTGCAGTACCATACCAAAGCCTCCAGGAGGCCCAAAATTTCGAGGTCTCATGAAGACCTACCCTCATACCAAATATCAAGACAATGCATTTAAGCCTTCTCAAGTTATTCTGTTCACAACATCACACTGATGCACACACTGACATACATTTTGTGTGCACTCTGCAAAACCTAACCCTCTTTTCCAATAGCAAAAGTAATTACCTTGTGTAACTGGTTGTGAATTTGTCACAAAATGCGGCTGCGGGGGTTGTACGTGCCCCAGCGCCTGATCTATGGCATGCCGGGAAGTCATCCCCTGTGAGGAGGTGACGGTCGGCGTCCCTGTCATGGTCGCCGTGGTGATGACCTGACCTTTCTGTGGGGTCACCGGCAGACCAGTCTGCGGATTCACCATCAAGTTCTCATCACCAAACGAGTCATTCAGACTGGTCAGGTACTGTGGACGAGACAGAGATGAGAGTTTGAGATTATTGATCTAAAGAATGACGAAGCAAAAGTTTTATCTTGAATACTTATATTTTTCTGATTGCTGAGCTTCCCCTGAAGGTCTGCATGCCTTTTTGCGGGAGGGGTAGTGAGCAATTCACCGTTACTAATAGTTGGCCACTTTAAAATCATTGTCACAAAATGCCAGAATTGTGTTGTCAACTCTCCTAAATTTACCATAAAGTTTTGCCAAGATTCCCCCATGCAGACCCTCTTGCTTAGCTGTCTGAGAGCATGGAGGTAGAACCATGCTGAGAGTTACAATCTATCACCCTAACATCTGCATAGAGCTTTGGCAAAATGGCTAGGAACACTTCCAAAGAAGTTTCAAACTACTAGTATGAGATTCTGAGAACGAAATTATAGGTTCCAGAAGTTGAAACCTTCACAATTATTACTATTAGCACTTAAAATTAAAGCACTAAAAAAACGTTACAAATATTTTTGAAAAGTTAGTTGTGGGCTGCAACAAATTGTGGTTGGCTGCCACTGGACTCCAGTGGCAGCCAACCACAATTTGTTGCAGCCCACAATGACTGGACAAATGTCAATTTTAACAGGGCAAACTTGGGAACAAAGAAACTGCCAGGACACTTGTGTGGGAAAACCCCCACATGGCCAAACGTCAGTTACACACGGCAGTTGGGAAATGGGTCAACATCACCAGACCTTATCATTATCAAGCCTTCAATCTTGTACAAACATATCCACGCTCCTGTTTGGATTAATGTATCAGAAACAGATGTTTGTGGTTTTACTCAAAATTCTGACACTCTTTTGAAAATTATTTAAAAACATAACACTGCTAACAGTACATGTAATTAATTATAAATGACGGGTTGAAACACCTTTTAACTTCAAGAACAAAGAAAGTGACGTTTGCTTTAACCACTCAGTGATCGTTATATCAAAACTACCATAAAGCAGCACAATTTATATCCAAATTAAATGGATGACTTGAAAAGACAGTTACAGGAAAATCTTGATTTGGCTTCATTTCAAACAATGTGGCAAAAACAACTGACGTTGCAGGGTGCCATTCAGTGTTATCAAAACGGATTGTTTCAAAAGTGCTTCATTTGCTTTCAAATAGAAAACATCATTGTCAGAACAAATCCTGGTAAGTGCCTGAACAATACTCTGATTTTTTACAAGAGTCCAAAATAAACCGAAGCAACAGTCCTTTTTTCTACCTCCATGCAACAGTGTACCGTTTTATTTTCAAACGGTGTGCAGAAAGATTTTGAACTCCAAACAGCGAAAATCCTTTCTGAAGTTTCTTGGAAATCCCTACTGCAGTGTCAATTGAATAACAATTTTGACAGTTGCACAGTTAAAAACTATGAAATTATTGTGAGACAGCAACGATTTATATCACCGTCTGAAGTCTAACTGAACATCCAACTCACATTCACAACAACGACCAGGATAAAATGATCATGGGACAGTTATTCTGTTTTTGACGGTTCAGCAAAATAAGACATCTTTGTGGAACAGTAGAATCACATTCTGAAAATGGTCTGAAAACTCGAGTTCGAAAAATAATTATCTCAAAAACGAACCTGTGCCTGTTCTGCAGACGACAGCGGCTGGAAGTCGGGACTGTCCCAGGTCAGGTTCTGCAAGTCGCTCGGCAGATCCAGCATTTTGTCCAAGTCCATATTTATCAGGTTCGTGTTGTCGGCAAAATCCTCTGCGCCCTTCAAAATCTCCTGCATTTGGTCCCGGACATCAGAGTCGATCATTTCTTGCAGCGACTGCTCTGGATCGGCAGGAGCTTGTCCGAAATAGTCCATCTTTGCGTCTCCGTTTCCGATGGCCATAAAAGACGAATTTAAATTTCCACCAACAAAAGGCTCAAAAACTCGGTCCTGCACACCGGTGAATCCGGAAGTGGAAAAATCACGAAAAATATTGAGAAAAAAATCCTAAGAACTGCAATTTTCCGTGCAGAAGGGTCCCCGCTTGCTACTTGCAAGATCCTTGCCTGGTACTACTGCAGAGACGACAGAAAACTCGAAAAAACCTCATGAGAAAGTTTTAAAATCCACCGGACCGTCCTGGTCCCGGCCTTGTCTGGATAAAACGGTTACATGTTGGTTGGAAACAGATTTGGATTTAAATTTAAATTTTCCCGGCTCCCAGCATGCAGCGCGAAACGTTACGGCGCACGCGCATTCAGCTTTTCCGGCTGCACTTCCGGGTTTGAGGAATGCGGAAGTAACAAACGGTTACTGAAGTAACGGCTAGCAGACGAACTGGGTTACGTGAGGGCTTGCAGACGACGTCGAGCAAATAAAAACCCATTTTACACAATACACTTCAGAAGTTTAGCATGCCGGCCAGACAATGAAATATGCCAGACAGAAGAAAACGACTTTTCAGCTGCGTTTCCTTGAGTATAATTTGAGCCAAGAAGAGCTCAGAAAATATGTAGTCCCAGCACAACTGATTTTGAGTAGCAGATCTAGACTGTTTTCTATCCTAGCCTGGGTGCCATCCTACGTAGGGTCTCTACTTCATGTACTTCCGTGCTAGCCAGCGACAGTAAGCAGTAACTACGGGGGTATACACAGGACAGCTCCTCTAATCTCCAAGCAGATACTACGGTGAAAACACAGTAACCATTGGCCAGGGAAATGATCATGCTTTAGGTTTCTTCTTTGCTAATAGGTCTAACATCACATTTTAGTTATAGGCAAGTGCTGGAAACTGTATTATTGCACAATAAATATTTTTGACATAGAGTAGCTAACAAAATGCTAAGTATAGGCCCAGGTGTATTTCAATCCTCTTTGGGTTTATATCTCCGTAACTTCACTAAAATCACAAACACACACAAAGGTAGAAATTTTGACACCCCGCTTGCACATTTTATTCCACACATATCCTGTCCTCTTCAACAGTATCAGCATCTTCATGATCATTGTTATCACAAAGATGAAGACAATACAAACATGGCTCCACAGCTCTATATACATATTGACCACTTTGAGAGGGCCAAGTGTTAATGCCACAAAGTTACAAAATTCATTACCCCATATTGTAATAAAAGGGAGTAATACTAAATATATAATGGCTCTACCTCTGCTATACCAAGAAGCTTTCAGAATGTCCTTGGCTATACTTAACACATACCAATGGTTTCTGAATCACCAGTAAGCAAGAAGAAATTGTAACTTTCTCTATACATCTCCGTTCAACTGATGAGTTGGTACTACACATGTAGTTTTTCCTCTTTCTCACTCAGTTACAAAAGTGGAACACTGACCTAGTGTATCTTTATAAGCACAACAATCCATTCACTGGTGAAATAAAGACTAAACTGTAACTTCCAACACTAGGTGTAGAATTGGGACTTACCCCAAATTTTCGGTTGACTCCATCAACCTTGTTCACGGAATGGACCCGTCTACTCTTGGAACGTGACGTCAGAGACACGTGACCGTAGTAGCGGGTCATACGTGCCAGATAATGTGTCGCCCCCCGTCTCTGTTCAGGGTTATCTGGCACGTATGACCCGCTACTACGGTCACGTGTCTCTGACGTCACGTTCCAAGAGTAGACGGGTCCATTCCGTGAACAAGGTTGATGGAGTCAACCGAAAATTTGGGGTAAGTCCCAATTCTATACCTAGTGTTGGAAGTTACAGTTTAGTCTTTATTTCATAATGATTTGTACCAACACAGATGAACTTTCATGCTAAATCCATTCACTGCTTTGTGTTTTATATGAGGAAAACAGTGAGTTGAATATATAACATTTTTGGTCCATGTCATGTCACGAAACATTGCCACACGTTACAACTGCCACTTGTAAAACGATTATACAAACTGTACGCCGAGTAGTAGAAATACGAGCTCAAGGTAAAATCCTTGCAATTGTCCTCTCAAAAACACCTCAAGAATCAAACTACGATCGTACAAGAATACAACAAAACTACACCTACATGTATCAATAGAATGGCATACAACAAATGCAGCCTGTACTTTCCAAGCACTTTTAGTTTGGATGCAGCTAAAGTATAAAGCTGCTGTGTGCCACATTTACTACAAGGACACAGAAAGCACTGGTCACATATGCTACATGGACAGGTCAGTACTAGTGGTTTTTAGAAACACTTGCAGCAGTTGGCATCGTCCTGAGCAGTTTGTTAGACAAAGGCTTCCTAGGGATACTCTGACCTAGTCAATGTTTATCATGTTTTTGGTTGTTGTTTTGAGGTGGAAATAGATTGACATTACCCTGCCTTGCCTTTTCATTTGGTATATGGCACCATACAATATTTGCTGGACACCTTGCTGGAGAACATGTTTTTTTTGCTTTCCATTTATATCAAGTAAACTGAGGTTTGTACAATAGAATGTCATAAACTAAGAATAATCAAATCTATTGTCAAATGCTTTGGTCTTTCACACCAACAAAGTTTTTATGATGCCAACTGCATGAGTTCAGGTACAAGCTAAAATGCTTAGACGTATATACTACATTCATACTATAAAGCAGAGGTTACAGCACATCAGTCTACTTGTGACTTCATCTGAAAGAGCTGAAGTGACAAACGTTTTGCACAAGAGTAATGGCAGATAAAGTACAAACAACTGGAAGTTGAGAAAGCGATGAATGAGTGTGATATGACATGGTTGATGCTTATGACTCCTGGATCTCACTTTTACAGTATTGTTTTTCACTTATGTTGACTGTTTCAATCCATTGATGACAGGCAGTGGCAGCTATCAAAGATGATGAGAATACAGCTTCATAATGGATGTTACAGCTTCTTGGTAGACAAAATCATCTGGAGTACCAAACACAACACCACAGCTGCAGGAGTGTCAGTTGTGGTGTGCTAATTATCTGAAAATTTACAATACAATAAATAATATTATTCTTACTTGCAGAGACAAACACAGATCACCTCTTAGTGTTTTCTCAACTTGTGTGAAATCACGTTATCCAACACAAATTTAACTAGTGATTAAATTTAAACTAAAAAGTACTGACAACAATTTACAGTGTTGTGAACAAAAAAATCTTAGTAAAAAGAGCATCTTGCTCCTTTTTCATCCTTGCAATTGTGCCTTTGACAGTGAGTAAGACTTTTTACCACCAGTTTGTGTATTTTTCCAGCCATACATTCTGGCAAACGTAATCAATGAAACAAGTTATGATATGAAATTTGTCTGGCCTTAGCATAATTGCATGATTCACAACCTTTCTCACATTCAACAATTATAAAAAAAAGGAGAAACAATCTTTTTTCATAAACAAGGCCCCCTATAACATTCAACTTAAATAAAAGGCGCCATAATTTATGAGATAAAACCCATCAAGCGACAAGGTTTCATAAGATCAACAAAAAAAAATAATGGAGAAAAAAAGTTGGTCTAAAATCAACCATCTATACATATAATACAAGACGCGCTGTTTTGTATCAGCTACACAGCATCTACAACCATGACAAAGGAAAACACCCAGATGCCTTCAGTACCACAAAAGTCTATCCCTACTTCTTTAAAAGCAGATACATGCAAGATGACAACATTGATTTCGATCTATGCCTAGTAGCAGGTACTTTTCCCCCTTCAACTTGTAGTCAGTCAGCAACGACAGACGTGCTCAGATGCGGAAGCTTTCGTAGTTCCCGTCGATGTGACGCAGACGCAGGTACACGTCGGTTCCGATGCCCTGCATGGTGTTGTACGTCAGAGATCCGCCCAGGTACTCGGCGTACGCTCTGGAAGTCGGGAGCCCAAATCCAAACCTAAAACAAAGGAGAAATGGATACACGAGACATCAATAATGATGTCAGAAACACAGAGTAGATGTATAGTGTCTTTGTGTTGTAGGTTTAGGAGTAAGAAGGTGTGTCTCTTAATGTTTACATTAGCTTTAATTAAACATGCTCTCAGCTACTTACAGTAACTACTAACGGTAAACAATTTCGTCCCATATTTTGAACTATACTTTTAAGTCCAATTTATGTAGAAAAAAAAATATATAAAAAGTAAAGAGGAGGGAAGTAGTGAAGACGTTAGTACAAGTGTCTGCTATGACCGTCAGGTAGATTCTCATCACTATGTTCTTCTACTTGATTGGTCGATTGAACTGTAGATTGAGATCTGATTGGTAGAGAAGGGTGAAGGACGGAATACCCATTAGAGTCCGAGTCTTCGGAGTCAGGGTTGCGAGCTTTGGGCTGCTGGCGCTTGCTGAAGACAAGAGCCAAGAAACAAAAGTATAGCCATAGCAATATACTACATCATGTGTTTAATGTGATATTTGATGATTGAAATTTGTCCACTGAACCCCACCCATGTTACACCTCACATAAAAACCCAATCGTAGTGCTAAAAACAATTACAAGATATAAAATCACTGGCCACCTATACTTGACACCTGACACCAATCTGCAAATTCACTACCAGCTCAGGTGAGATTTTGCAAAATTTTATTGAACCTGCTTCATCTATACCCTTAACAGACTGTTTTAAGTTACAAAAATCTACTTTGTTACATCTACAGGGACTATAAAAGCAGTATGTGCCCAACTCGTTGCTCATTACAGCAACATGTTTATAAAATCAATGCAATTTGCTTTATCTTTCCAATTTGAATAATTGAACTTGCATCAAATTCTGATACCATGCAAGACAGAAGACTGTACAACATACACTGCATAACATCATCTTGCATTGTTTGTACTACCTAAAATTTCTTCTCAGGAAAAAACATTAAAATTCATCATATCAGCTACTTTAGTAGGAATAATGCATGTTAGTATTACAATATAGTAACTTCATACATCATACTTTCATAGTGAATATACTGTAGTCATGCATGTATCCAGAAAAAAGCATTCTGAGCCCTGTAAATAACTCCAACCATGCAGAAACAAGTGAAAAACTAAGGATGGTGCAATGACAACAACAAAACCAGCAGCGAGGACTCACCCATACATGGGGCCTGCCCCGTTGGGTCCATCGTTCATGGCTGACATCATGGTGCCCAGTCCGTCCAGGTTCTCGCTGGCCGGGTCCATCTCACTTCCACACGTCGTGAAGTGGTACTGCATCACCTTCTCCAGGATCTCACGCGGCATGCCGCCTCCCTTGTCCGAGATTCTGAACAAAAAATTATACAAAATAACCAAAAATTTTACAGCCAAAAACACAAAAATTTTCAAATTGGAGAACACTGGCATGTACCAGTGTTGAAATTTTCCAATTTTCAACTTTTTTCTGTCATCTTAATTTTGTATGGTGTAACATGTCCTAGGGGGTGCAGGGGCATGCTCTCCAAGGAAAATTTTGAAATCTTGACCCCTGAAATGATGTTTTCCAGCATTTTCAGGGGGCAAATTTTGCTGGTAGACTAAGTTTTAAGACTATTGACATCGTCATATGCTGGCTGTTGTCCGTCGAAGATGACAGACTGGGCAAATTTTTGTCTGTCATGAGCAGCAAAATTCCACCAAAAGAAATACACTGCCAAGAATGCTGGTATGTACAGAATATGGTAAGTTATGATAATTTGTGATGACACGCAAACTTTAGCCATGCTAACAAGGAATGACTTTGATTAGGTGTTACCTCATACAAGACCCCTGAGGTGGTTCAATTCTTACCTGATGATGAAGTCTACATCGTTGTTGGCTATGGTGACAGTCACGTCAGGCATGTTGACAGGGTTGTCTGCATGCTGCTCGCAGGTCGCTCTGAAATACAGCAGAAGTACATAAAGTTTAGATCTGAGAAAGTGACTGTGTAACTTATATCATACTTTTCGTTCATGCAAACTGCCCAGGTGGGCCCTGGGTTGGGAACTTAGCATTACTGTGCTTTGGGCAGTGGGAATAGTCACACTGCTACATATTCTCCTGACATAACATCACAATACTATCTACATGTAGAAAACAACTTCTAAATCTAAATTCATCTATGCAGAAAAGAATGTTTATGTTCAAAGAAGTCAGCTAGGAAACAGAAAGTTAATCCCTAGCTGTAAACATGCCCTAGGCACTGAAATAGTTAACATTCTCCTCTCTACAGTATCTCCACAAGACACACAAACACTGAGAAAACAGGAGTTGTACTTTGCACCGACCTCATGGCATTCTTAAGAAGTTCTGGTAGGATGTAGTCCAGTGGCAGAGGAATGTAGGGGAACACAACTCCCACATGTCCGAGGACACGAACACGGGGAGCGTAGCCGTACTTGTACTCACATACTTGTCTGTAGAGGAAGGGATGGATAGTTAGTCTACTTGAAATCCAGAATTAAAATTTTAGTTGCTCTATTCTCAATTACAATTTGCTATTCTCAATTACAAATATCAATGTTAGTTGAGAGCAAAGTTTCTATCAAATTCTTCATGTATCAGATACATTAGTTGTCAAACTATTTTGTTAACCTGAAAAGTCAATCCTCAAATATCATCACTAAATGTTAAACATGTAATACTCATAATGCATCCCTTCGCACAAGATTATATATAGACTCCTAGTACTTAGCATTAGAATATAGCGTCCCAGTATGCACTTAGTCTGCATCAAATCCAGAAGAACATTTGCCAAATGTTTCCTTTTAAATGTTAGTTTCTACTCTTCAAGGCTGTATAAAATTGGGACATTTAATAAAACAACTTTTCTTTTCTAAGTGATTTGTCCATCATTAATTAAAATTCTTCAATGTTAATAATATCGTCTTTTGAGAATTCGGTAACAATGTACACTCACTACAGATATCTAGGTGTTCAATACATTATTGAGAAGGCCTTGTTTATTTAACACCATTTTTCTAATTGTTGCAGTTTTGGGGTACCTGCTAAATTAAGAGTTAGTGTTACTACTCGGCATGCATCCCTTTGCACAAGATTATTTCAAGCAAATGCTGCAATGCTAATGTCAATGAGGAATTTGCTCACTCAACAACTTTTTATTTATTACATTAGCAAACAGTGTAGAAGTAATTTACCAGCTGTGTTTGCTCTGGCTCGGGTGGCCTGACCAAAAACAAACACTTGTACTACACGTTGACAGCCATGTGGTTTTACCCATCACATATATAAGACCGCTGTCAACAACTTTATGTAGGGCAGGGGTAAGGCCTGGTCAAGGCTAACATGGGGTGAGGGCTGGGTCATATGTCTGTAGCTATTTTCACTGTAGTGTAAGTAATATCCTGTGTATGAAAGTGATTATGGAACTGTTTAGGTCACTAAATTGCTGTATGCTGTCTTGTTTTTGAAGGTCTTATGTCATAGCAGTAGTATTGCTCCTTTATCTGGTATATGACAATATATTACATGTATATTGTATTCAAATCATGAGAGAATGTACGCCAAAAAAACAGTTACTCAAGAAACTGGATATGATTTTGGAAATGATGATCATATTCCAAAATCATATCCAGTTGCTTGAGTACCGGGTAACTGTTTTGGCGTATCTTATTACTTGGATGTCTACCCTTCACCGACACGAGAGAATATAGGTATGCAGACAATGTACTGTGAACTGAAAAGCTACACATTGAAACCTTCAATTTCCTTAAACAACACCTACCTGGAAAAGTCTGCCCATTTCTCTATGATCTTCTTGAGGGACATCTGGGTACAGATGATCCCCACATAGTTTGGCTGTGCATGAAACAGATTCTGAAATAAGGAGTATGTTCATGGCTTACTGTTCACACGGGATCACTAACAACATACCTGGTAGTTCTGTTGTAATATGTTATCATCACAGAGGCCAGAAAGTAAAGAAGGCATGTAACCAGGTTCTCTCTCTCTTTCACTCACTCACTGACTCAGTCTGTCAGTCAGTCAGTCACTCCAAGAAGATGAATGATACTGTAGAACCTGACAGAATTGGCTGGCCTGGGTGCCATCCTATTCACAGGGGCTTCCATACTTTCCACAAAAATAGACCAAATCTTCCCTATAAAGATGTTCCCCGTAGCTAATCTGATGGCACTCAGGCTTGCTGAATTCACAAAGTAAAAGCCTGGGTTCCTTGCTGTAGTTCTAGAACTGTAACATTTACCTAACCATTGGAGAACGAATAATCTTTCTCCTTTCTAACACTTCCTATAACACAGCAGCATTATGTTGTGACCCTACCTTCTCCTGATGCAGGGCTATGTGGTGCTGGGCTAACATTCGTATCCCCAGTCTCGATGTCAACATTCTGTCCAGGAAGTCTTGGATCACCTTGTATTCCTGCAATGTACATGTAGTAATAATAAAAGATAAAGGAGGATACATTACATATATATGTTAGGGACAAAACTATCATGTTCCCACACCCCTACATTCCCACACACATGTATGGTTAGGGCTAGGGTTGTCAGGACATAGGTTGATGAGTTGTTGGAACATATGGGTGTCAGAACATTGGGGTGTACCCTATATGTTAAGGACTTAGGACAATATCTTAGATTAGGACTAAGTAAGGATTATATGAAATAGTAGCCTAGGAGACATCAATAGATCAATAGTCTTTAAGCCCAGATAATACAGTCATTAACCCTAGAACTTTCTGGGAAATTTGTATGTGTTGGAACCTACATGTAGTTTAAGCTCTTAAAAGGGAAGTCTTCAGATAATAGAAATGACAGCCCGGTCTATATAGACCATTTAGTCTTAGTGATATACCAAAAGCACAGGTTTGTTTGTTTGTTTGTTTGTTTGTTTACCTTGATGTGCTTCCTGCTCTCCCTGAAGCCCTCTGCCAGCAGGGTGACCACATCCTTGTGGTCGTCCAGTAGGTCTTTCACCAGCTTGGTGTACTTCTCTTCAGACTCAAAATCCTCCACCTTTTAAACAGAAACCATGCATACAACCATCAACACAAGATCTATGATCCACTGCTCACCAAGTCATGAGTGTCATCTGCATAACGTGACACCCAAGAAGTGGTGGATTGCTCATTCCTTGACAAAAACTAGCTAGAATTGTACAATCAAAAATCTGTCCCATTTCTTATGTTGTGAAATTACTTCGAATTCCCTTACAGGTCTTACTTCCATTATAGGTCAAAATTAGCATAAAGCTATGTTCAAACAGCAGCTTAGCCACTGGTATGGATGAGACCAAAAATCAAGTCACCATCCTAAAGACAGTTCCAGTAAGACATTAGTTATACAATACTGAGTCTTATAGAGACATACTTACAGGAGGGAACTCTGACAGCAGGTGAAAAGAACGGATGTACAACTCATGCTGAAAGGAGAAAAAAAACATCTTTAGAACCTGGACAGGCATACGATGGTTCCATCTGAAACAACATAATTTTAACCTAGGAGGTCATTTGTAAAAAAACATGAATTCAAAGCTCCTTGTTATAACACAGCCTTTTTTTAAATGAATCAAACCTTGATGATTGTTTGCTCATCCCTGACTTTATACTGCCATGACAATTTTCATTTCAACTTTTCAAATCATCCCCAGCATGTTGGTAAAACGGAGGCTACTTCCTAGTAGTAATGAGGTAGTACAACATTGCTGATTGGCCAACCATCTCACAATATGCAATGCTCAGCCCTATAATATTTTGGTTCTCCTGACCATCTAAGCGAATGGTATCTATTTTGGGAGATGTTGTACAGCTTGCAACACAAGATAGAGTGTGATCTAACATAGACAGGAAACATGTGGCTCTGTAGGAAACAGATGCGCTCAACTCAAGATATTAAAGACAATCGCAATGTTAAATATGCTTGTAAACAACAGCTGGCATGGGTTATGATGAGTAGATTCATTTTTGTAGTCTTTGCGTAAGTAATTTTATTATACTTTTATTTTTGATCGTCATCTCAGATTCGTTTTTTCTCTTGGATAATAGGAGTAGGGTACTTTATCAATCCCATTACTTATTAGCATTCCAATAGACTACAAGTCATACCAGTACACAATGTATTTAGCTACATGTATTATGTCTCATGGGAGTTGTTTTGTCTATTACTCCCATGATAGTAAAGACACTGGGTACAAATAATTACTGGTAATGGTACAAACAATGTTATTCATCATATGACCAGTCATATGACAGTCACATGCTGGCTCACATTTCTATGCCCCAGAGGCTTAAAAAACTCCCCTGGAGATTATCTCAGCCTGGTTGTCAGAACTAAGTAGTTGCAAGCTTACAATGTAGATGGCCAACATCTTAAATCTGGTCAAAATCTGCTCACTACAATTAAATTGTAAAAGTTTGAATTGCTAACACTAGGTTGGTGCGCAAAGAAAAGCATACTGTCCATGCCGTATGTTCAACAGGTATGGCAGGATCTGCTGGTGAAAACAGCCCATTTGAGAATCATCCCCCGCATGTTGGTAAAACGGAGGTGGGCTACTTCCTAGTAGTAATGAGGTAGTACAACATTGCCAATTGGCCAACCATCTCACAATGCTCAGCTCTATAATGTTCAACAGGTTTACCAGGGTCTGCCAGTGAAAACAGCACATTTGAAAATCGTTATCATCAATTTATCTAGGTCAAAAGGTGAGGAGAGTTTGTTTGCTGTGTGAAGGAATCCAGCCCACCTCCTGAGCCAGCAGCTACAAAACAGGCCTGACCTGTGCACACATCATCATCAAATATTTGGGTGACACTCTGTCAGGTGGGGTACTGATAGGGGATACTTGGTGCAAAATAAGAAAATCAACCTGTAGGTAGCCTGGGTGCCAGACCCACAGCATACTAGTAGTACTAGGGTCAAAGTTATCCTGCACACTGGAAAACTCTGAGCCGAGTGTGCTGTGGGTCTGGCACCCAGGCTACCTACAGGTTGAAAATCAGAACTAGTACTATTATGAGAATAAATGAGAATACAGTAAAAATCGTTATAGAAAAGGCTCAACAACTTAAAAAGTGAATTGAACTGAACTGATGAGGAGCCATCTTATAAATCATCACCTTTGCTTTTTGAGTGCTTGAAAAATTATAGTAAAAAGACAGAACAAGGACTGTATACAGCAATATTTGTATTCTAATAATGTCTGCGAGTGAACCGTACAAAACAAGTTACAATAGAAATACCATAAATCTAAAGTTTGAGTTTCGTGAGACCTTACCACATGAAGGATTGTGGGATTGCAGCCAACGATGAAGGGAAGATGTCTGAAGTCACGGATGCGGTGAGCCACGCGGACCGGTAGTTCCTTGTACAGGTACTGCGCACTCCGCTACAGAAAAAACACACAACATCAACAACGTTAAATGCTAAGGATTTTATACATCACAGCTAGATGCTGTTATACTTCAATTTCAAAATCTAAGACTAGACTGTTTGCATTTGGAGACCAATAAAAAGTCACTCCTTTTGACATATTTTGGCCAGGCAGACAACCCAGTATTTATAGATCTTTAGCATTTTACTGATAAATACTGACCAACTTACCCTGTCCTAACTTTTAAGTTGAGACACATGCCATGGATTACTTGTTTTCAAACCAGAAGGTTGACCACAGGCGGGAAAAACAAACATTCGATTCAGGCCAATGAACTTTAAAGTAACCTTTAGAAGGGATTCCCATTTTCTAGCAGTTCAACAGAATGTAACTGTTCCTCAAGTCAAAACAGTTATTCAACACGAAAAATATATTAGAAGACTTCAATATTGCATTACTGTGAATGTTATTGGCATTTAGTTTAACAGTTAAGTGAATAAGAAATAGGCCTGACACTAATACTACCCTCTTGGGGGAAAGCAATTATGGAAAGATCAATAAATGGAAAATCATTGATTTTCCCCTCGTTTTCCAGCATAGTATACATTAGTAGTACTCTTATCTGTTGAAGCATCCATTCTTCTGGTTCTATGGTGATGCAATCTCATAAGAGTAAGAGATTGCATCATCATAGACCCAGAAGGAATACTTTAATACTTCAACATGCTTTTATGTCACTGTAACCATGGCAACTATCTACTTATAATATTTTTTTCTGGAAGTGGCACAAATCATGATGCAACAGTTATAACGATTGCACGATTAACTATTGAAATTTTGAAATGGCTTCGCTTCCAAATTTGCTTAGAATGATCAAGGAGCTTTCATCACAAATCTCCTTGGAATGATCAGTACGACTGTATGCCAGTAATTGACACATGGACGCCAAGAAAATATCCATGCTGGACCAGGTCCATATGTTTGTTCCCAGGGCACCAAATAACCAACCACTAGCCTATTATTAGCAGAGTTGATAGTGATGATAGCCAGGCAAGCTAATTTCCCATCTCCCAAATGGAAACATTCCAGGACTTTGGTATTACGACCTGATGCTTTTAATGTTACAGTTTACCTTTTAAGTTTAGCTATGGAGAGTCTCAGACAACAGATAGGTCAAAAAAGGAAGGAATTTCACTCATATCTTGTACTCAATCGACATGTGCTTATCTGTGATTAGTTTCCATGGGTTGCTAACCAATGGTTAACGAAATTTCAATCATTTATTTTGCAGATACAGGCTGCACCACATTAGAATTCAAAGTTGCTTCTGTATGACCACTTGAACTTGTTGAGTATGAGGGAAGTTTGTTCAGTTTTGATCAAACAATTTTAAGATTCTGACACCACCCCAGTTCCAAAGGTCTACACTTTTGTTCACATGCACAGAGCATGACTTGGAGCATGCTGGCATTTTTTCAAAAAAACTTTTACTGGAATAAAAAAGAAAAGCAAACATTTCCATGTATGTCAATCAACTTCGTTCAGTTGTTCACGTAGCGCCAAGGTTCTGACTGGCACCCGTTCCAAAGTCCTTTCTGTCCACGTGCTCACAGCGTGGCTTGGAGTGGGTTTTGTGTGGTCACATATATTATGTTGACATTGTGGTAAGAACTGTAAATGTTAAACAAAGGCAGACTAGCTAGGGGGAATGCGTCCGCCCACGTGAATGCCAATGCCAATGCGTGACAAGAAAAGCCGGTCTGGGATAGGCAGTGATGCAACACCCCATATAAGTGGACTGCGCCCAAGTTAACCTCAAGCAAGGTCATGGTATTCAATTAAGGGTGAGGGACCGCGAGGCCATGTCTAGACAGCGTCTTAATCATAAGGAAAGTGGTTTCTGACACAAAAAGATGTCTTAGGGTAGATTACTACCTCTGGATCAACCTTCCTTTGTTGTAAAGAACTCTCACAGAAGTGAAAGGACTGCTATTAAACTTTTTAAAGGCTACCCTGCCCAGTCAGTCACTCATTGAGGCATCACTTACAAGAATACCCCAAACATTTGCCAAATACACGAGACCTGAATACACAGTGAGAGACTGTCCTGGCATGCAAGTCTTCTAATGGTAGTGTACTGTAAGTAGTGTAGATACACATTAGATATTTTGCCAAGTATGTAGCACATACTGCAGTCAAGACTGCCAGCTTAGCTTGGTATGTAGTAACGTTTACGAACAACTGTGAAAGTTTAACATACTGGCATTCTCCATACCAACTTATCAAACTGGAGACTACTGTTAATATATTTCAGCTATCCAGTTGATGTAAGATGTTTTACCAGAATGTGGCTGTTGTCTGGAGATTTTCCAGCATACAGGATAGTTGTGGGGGTGAGTCGCACGGATGGCTGGAAAACAAGAACAAACACACATCAGAAAATAGGACGTTATTTTTGCTCAAAGCTGTATGGACCTGATTTTCTCACCCATGGACACAATTGGAATGAAAACATGACTTTTAAATCCTTTCAGATGTTGGGATATGCAATATTTCCAGTTGTTTTACAGCATTCTTATTATTCAAAGCAGTTGTAGCTTTCTCTTTAAACACAAAATGCTTATATAACCCTGATAAAGGTCAATCTTGTTTTTAATTTTCTTTCATCTTTGTTGTTGTTTTTCTTCTTTCCACACTGGAATCGATTTGATGTCTGCTATTGACGTCATCAATAAAAAGTTAGCGGGGCATAAAAAAGAATTGACTGTGGAAACATTTTTTTTTTTCGATTCCATATTTTCCATGATGCAACCATAATGGATGTTTGAAACTCCAGACTACAATGATCACCAGATTAAATTTGATACTAGTATTCTCAGCGGAACCGTATAAAAAAAATGGTTTGACGTCATTCGGGTTACAAGGCCACTCCGGCGACTCAGTATTAGTAACAAGTGACTCACGCAACTAAATAGTTCTGACATAAACTAACACAGGGATTTCTTTGTGTAGCGGCAAACAAAAATGTCGAAAGAAAAGTATGGTTGTCAAGGTTCTATGTGGCAAAATACAGAATGGGTGATGCGGCCAAAAAATTATAAGCCTGGAAAAATACAAGAGCGCTTTGCCGTGGCGAATTTTTGAAAGCCGGCATGCAAGACTCGGTATAATTTTTAGTGAGAAAGCTAGTATGGCATTACCTTCTCTGCTGCTATGTCGATGGCGCTCTGGTTGTAGAAGGAGATGACAGATCTAGCAGAGACAGACTTGTCCCTGGGTTGAGGGACGTACGGTATACCGCTGCATCGTGGCCGACTAAAGAACAAAACGGCAGGGCAAAGCTCCAGGCTAGGGTGGGGAGGGCAAACGAAGAGCGACTTTCCGACGGTACGAAGCATGGTGGACGGCGCATTTGCGGTCGACACTCTTCCAAAAGAAACGAACGAAGGTCTTATGAGAAAAATTCTGTCCAATTGCAGTTTAAAGAGTTCAGTTTTCTCCGGTAAGGATGCCCCATCCTCACCTTTCCACCTCCACGAAAACTCTTCTCTCTCCACGGGCCTTCTTCGACTAAATAACAAGCCCGGACGCATGCGTGCTGACCCGGGCTTGAACTCACCCGATTCAAACGGACCAATCAAGTGAAAGGGCTAATTATCTATGGCCAATCAAAACGCTTCGTTGGTAATAAATATTGAAGTATCGACAGGTCCTGGGGAGATATTGCATCATACGGATTTAATTCTAGGCTTGGCCGGCCCAGGCCGGCGGTTAGTCTCCAACAGACTCATTTGCAGGTCAAGAAATAGTCGAAATCAGCATAAAACGGATGTAATTGGCCAGGAGAGTTAGTCGGCCATAAAAGGACCAAATTTCCGTGCAGGCAAATTGGTCTTCCAGTATGGCCGGCTAACTTCCCTGGCCTTTTATACCGATTTTGATCATTTATTTCGCCTGCAAAGGAGTCTGGTGGAGGCTAGGCGCTAGTCAGGGCCGGCCAAACCTAGGTGTGGCCTACTTCACACGCACGGTACTCTCCAAGCAGAGGTTAGGACTGTTTTCGGACTTTTTACCAAAAGAAAATCCAACAAAAAGTGTCGGAAAACCGGACATTTTGATCGTTTAGAAATGTCTCTATTTAAAACGTTTCAAAACAAACATAACCTCTGCTTGGAGAGTAGACATGGGGGTTTTGTGTGTTCATTTTACTCATGTATCATTCATTTCTTGGCGAAGCCGGCTTTAGACAAAATATTGGTACAAATGATAACCTCTTTGTCATAGACGTTCAAGTACATGTTAGGGGAGCGAGTGGGAGCCCCGGCATACAAGTAGGATGGTACCCAGGCTATCATAGACACTCTTCTAAGCAAATATTTCGCAACAAATAATGAGAGACGGGTATATGAAATTAAGCAAATCATTTAATCAAAGAAAACTGACTGTAGATATATACTCATGACATCACTTTAAGTTTCCATATCGTAGTGTCACATCAACGACTCAAAAATTCACAACAGATGAAGTACTGAATACTGGCCATATGTCGTATGGATTCACATACAACATAATAGTAATTACAACACATGATTAAACGTTTTATCTCATTTATTTACACTTGACAAATGCCCGCATTTGAAAACACACATTTGTGGGTTTTTTTTACATTTCTCCATTACATTTCATTGCAATTGAGTACATTTCTCACTTGTCAATAAGTCAATACATCGAATTCGAAAAGTTCCACATATGCATGACGTTTAGTTACCGTAAATGAGAAGCAAGACTAGCATTCCAAACTTTCGTCTTCAAATCGTCTTGACTTTCAGTGCCTTTTAACACATCAGTGATACATATTCTCAGTCGCACGAACAAAAAACAAACGGAATACTGTAATTCTACCACACAATGATTCCCAAAAAGCTGCAAAAACTATCATAAGCGCCAAACGTAACAACGAACTACAAAGTAACATGTAAAATGATTGCAAATCTCAAGAGGCGAACATAGAAAACTTTGCGCTGGTACATGTACATCTCATACGCGTTTAATACTATCAAGGTATAGCCAGTTATCAAATGTATAAAACAGAGCTGCCTATCTGACTCATAACTTTTTAACGAATAGAGTTGCCTGTTACATTGCATAAGCGCTGTCAACTTTCAACCAATCACAACGCCTGGTGGAGTAGGATTGGCCAATGAGAATTCATGACGTTTTTAGATCTGACCAATACAGTTTAACCAAATACTGGCAGTTTTGCTGTTACATTGCATAAGCGCTGTCAACTTTCAACCAATCAAAACACCAGAAGGAGTGCGATTAGCCAATGAGAATTCAGGACGTTTTTAGATCTGACCAATACATTTTAACCAATACTGGCAGTTTTGCTGTTAGATTGCATGAGCGTTGTCAACTTTCAACCAATCACAACGCCTGACGGAGTAGGATTGGCCAATGAGAATACAGGACGCGGTTTTAATTTAGTCGCAACCCATCCACCATTTGGCCACACTGCGGGGATACCCGAAGTAGACGCGGCCAGAGCGAGTCAGTCTGTAGTAGTTGTCGCCCTCGAACACGTAGTTGCGGCCGTTGGAGTAGCGAATAGCGGCGTCCAGGCGGTCAGGGAACTTGCGGCCCCACCTGGAGATGTCCTTGGGGTAGCCCTGGTCGACTCCCGTGCGTGTGGCGTAACGGACGTATTCGTCACCTGAGGGAAGAGTAGTGGAATACTTTGCTTAATTTCGATTCCCACGTTTTTACTTGGTGCAATTAAGAGTTATTTCAATTCTGAACTAAATTTATAATGATATTAGCCAGAGTACTTAGTATTAGTGCTCTTTGAAAGAGTTCATCTTTTAAAAGATTTTCAAAGAAGTATTTCTACTCCATTTCATTAAGGCCATCAATCAACTAGAAAAAAATGTCGGCCCAATCCGTCATTTTTGAAGGACAAATATCAGCGTGTAAAATTATCTAAAGAGATGCCATTAAACTAAGCTTATTCTACCCAGCAAATAGCATTCAAGGGGGAGCATGCCCCCGGATCCCCATAGGATTACGTCAAACAAAACTGGGATGACGGCAAAAAATCAGCCTGGCTAGAACACTAATCTACAAAATTCTGGATTGCGATTGGTATTCACTTTCTTGTTCTTCTTACCTTTGAAGAAGTAGGTGACCGCTGACCTGCCGCGGCCGAACGGAGCGCCATGCCCACGCTTGTAGTACATGGCGGCGTCGATGTCGGCCGGCAGACCCCAGTTCGAGATGTCCTTCGGGTACCCGTCGTCCATCTTCGCGTTCTCAAACCGCCAGTACTGGTCACCCTACAAAACAGCCATGAACCACCTAACCAATGAGATCACTCGAATGAAATTTAAAATCGGGTAACTAACAAGGAGGTTATAAGTAGAATGTGTTACTATAGAGTCACATCATTTCCCTTCCCCGCAAAAAAAGCAATTGCTTAGTAATGATTTCTTAAATCAAGGAGGTTATGGACAGATTCTACACTGAAATGAAAACAGTCAAGAAATTGACGGCGACGCAAAGGTACTTAAGAAAAATCAAAGAACTCTAAAGTACCTTAAAGAAGTAGGTCTTGCCAGTGGGCCAGCTGAGTGCGGCGTCGATGTCGTCGGACAGTCCGTCCCAGGCGTCGGCGATCATCTGAGGGTAGCCTGGGTCTGCGCCACGCGAGTTCAGCCGCCAGAAGTACTTTCCTGGAACGAGAAAATGACTTTTTTTTAATCACAGAATTAAACGAACTTTAAGATCCTCGGACACCTGTACTTGAAGATATCACCTTAACTGAGTTTTACCAAGGATCAAAATAACGCCCTGATCAATAGTTTGGTCTCTCTCTGTCTCTCTCCGTCTCTGTCTCTCTTTGTCTCTCTTTGTCTCTGTCTCTCTCTCTCTCTCTGTCTGTCTGTCTGTCTGTCTGTCTCTCTCTCTCTCTCTCTCTCTCGTCTCAAAAGACAAGAGGGGTGAAAGGGGATTGGACATGTATACACACATAGAGCTGTACATGTAGTTCTTCGAGTGAATTGCATCATTTTGCCGATGCTTACCTCTGAAAACGAATGTGGTCTCATTCTTCAGCGTGGTGATAGCGTCGATGGGCGCGCCGCTGCACGTGTCGGCATCGTCCGGACCTGGCGTTGTTGTGGCCGGCTGAGTAGTCGTAGGTTCCGCGGTTGTTGTCGTGGTGGTTTCGGGGACTGTCGTGGTGGGCTCTGGGACTGTCGTAGTTGTAGGTTCTGCAGCATTCGTGGTTGTGGGTTCGGCGGGAGCGTTTGTAGTAGTTGTGGGCTCGGGAGCTGCTGTAGTGGTCGGCTCTGGCGCCGTGGTGGTCGGGGCTTGTGTCGTCGCTAGCGTGGTAGTCGGCTCTGGTCTCCTGGGTGTGCTCGCTGTCGTTGTGTCCACCAAGGTTGTGTCTTCGACAAATGCTATTAGAAAAATTGAGAGCTCAGACCACAATCATGACACAAAGAATGCAGAAGCAAAGTTACATTGAACGTCAAATGATTCATTGTACGATCAAATAAATCGAAATTACCTGTTGTTAGCTGCTCTCCCTGAGTAGTGACGTCTTGTTCCTGAGTTGTGACGTCTTCTCCCTGAGTTGTGACGTCTTGTCCCTGAGTTGTGGCATCTTCTGCCTCGGTTGTGGCGGCCTCGGTTGTCATGTCGCCCGGGGTAGGCGCAACAGTGGAAGGCGCACCTACATTTACAAAATCAATATTAATATATTACATAAAGTTATATGTATCACAAAATCATAATCTATAATTCCATTACATTGCTGAAAGATTATTTACATAGTGAAAAATTAAACTGTTTTCCAACTCATTTCTTTGAGTTGGAGAAAGGTTTAATTTTGAAAATTCTTTGTACCGTTTGCATTTTTTCCACACTCACCATAAAGTTCCTGGATGCCCGTGATGTCGTCCACGTGAAGCTGCAGATCAGACGAGAACCGGTAGAAGGGGGCCATGAGCGCGTCCTGGATGTTGGAGTGTCCCAGGCCGAGCGCGTGGCCGAACTCGTGAGCAGCCACCGTCATCATGTCCACGGCCGTGGTGAATTCTGCAGGGAACAGGATGCAAGGAGAAAGATGAGTAACGTTACTGAGTAATCTGAAAAGATTTATCTCGGATTGGTTTGTGCATCATCATCAGTTATTTTTCTTTCTCTTCACAAGATACATTTAAGACGGCAAGACAATGGATATTCTCAGAAGACCCTTAAGCAATAACCAAGTGTTATAAAACTTTTTCGCATCTTTGCCAAGTTCAGGCCTCAATGTTATGTCCTGTGCCTTACAGAAATGGTCTGAACAGTGTTTTTCCTCTTGTTCCTTTTGCGCTTTTGCAGTAAAATTGATATTTTTCTCGTGTGTTCTCTTTGCCACAAGGTGAGAGTGATTGACAGTCGTACCTCCAGGCGTCACAACGTTAAAGATTTCCGCCTCGTCGAAGTGGGTGTCCCCGCCGATCCCGGGTCCGGGGAAGAAGGCGTGGCCCAGGGTCCCGCCATTCCCGTCGAACGGCGAGCCGTCACCATGGTCACCGGACAGGAACTGGATCACGATGTCCGCGTTGTCGTCAGGGGCAACGGGGGTAAAGGTCAAGGGCGTGACCTCGGCCCACAACTGTAAAAATCATAAAGAGGAGATGAGATTTTGTTAGAGGCGAGTGTAGTATTACGTATTTTTTACGAAAGTGGATCCAGATTGAAGGGCGTGACCTCAGCCCACAGCTGTAAAAGTTATGAAGATTGAGATGAGGTTTAGTTAGAGATGACACATACGCGCAGGCCCTAGCATGTCCAGATCATGAGATATCAAAACCGGAAAGTCATAAAGAGGAGATGAGATTTAGTTAGAGATGACACATGCGCGCATGCAGTATTACGTATTTGTACGAAAGTGGTTCCGGATTGAAAATGTGCATCGTCACTTCACTGGATTGGTTTTCCATTTCGTAGTCAGTCATTCAGTCGGAATTCATACATCACATCACAACACGACATTGCCAATTAAGAATTCCAGTTGATGCAATACTTTTCTAGCTGCTTTGTCTTCAACGTTTTGATGAAACAGTCTACGAAAATCATGCATGCACTTTCTTGTTGCCTACTACAACGTTGAAACACATTGCAACAGCAACAACAGCAAACCATAAAGTATTTAATACTGCCATTACTCACGTTCAAAGCCTTGGCGATGGCGTCCCTCTGTTCTTCCTCAGTGAGGTCGGGAGAGAAGTTCTTGAAGGTGTAGGTCAGGTCGGTGTGGTCCCACCTGTTCCCCAGCACGAAGTTCGCCACGCGGACATCCCTGACTCCACAGCGGGGCATGTTCATCATGTCCAGGGTCGGCTCGTCGATATTGCCTGGAGAGGAATAAGATAGAAGTCATCATTATCATCGGCCTCCGTCCGCCTGAGTAGTTGATGGGCTTGGTCCAGGAGGTTTTCGGTACGTTAACATACCACAAAATGTTTTTTTTTTCTGGTTGGAGTTTACCCTGGGCACCATCCTGGTTAGTTTACGTCAGCTCCGACATCGATAGTCACTACTGGTGGGTAGCGGCTATCGGAGATACTAGCTAGGATTTCGTCCAAATATCATACAAATTTAAACCTACATTTCGGTCTGCATCACATATTCTGAGATTCCTTCTGAAACGAGAAGTCACGCAAACTTGACGCCAGGAGTAGAACATCGACATCATGACGACTTACATGTGACGTCGAGACCGGCGAACTTCTGAAACTTGCAGACGGCTTCAGTCATGGTGGTGGTCATGTCGCTCGCCTTGCGGACCGTCGCCATCTCAGCTTCGTCTCCCTTGTACCATCCGAACTGATCCAGGTATTTCTGGGAAACAAAAGTACGGGAGATTACTACCATGGTCAAAATTACGAGTGCGACTAGATAAAGAGCTACATGTAAACTGCGCGGTGATTATCCACCCTGCCTTCCCGGTAAGAAAAGAAGAGATGACGAGACCATAGGAAATCTATAAATTATATGATAAATAGTTCAACATCATCAAACAAAAACTGATCATGGGGAGCGACCAATCGTGGGGAGACAACTTGTAAATTTACAAGTCATAGTGACACCACAAATGTTCACCCTCCATGATCAGTTTAAACGTAAGGCGATCTTTATCAATAGCTTTGCCGCCCCAAAGGAAAATTCAAACAAACAAACAAACAAACAAACAAACAAACATCCTTACCACGGCCATGGTGATATTGGGAACGTTTCGGCGCTCCTCGTCCACCTGCTCCAGCCCCAGAGGCAGGCCCACGTAGTACTTCTCCAGAGTCAGGTCCTCGTGGACGTTACCGAAGTCTCCGGGCTCGGCAGGTTCCACTTCTGAAGACAAAATGACAAGAAACTTAAGTTAATTTTCAGTCTTCAACTGAGACCCACACACTTTGCACTACTTGTTTAGCGTTGCTACCATGTTTACTGACAAGTTGGTGAAGGTTAAACTGACCTAAAATATGAAGCTTGGACAAATTTTTGGTGTAAAAACTACCACAGACCCCAACTCTTACTGTACAAGTCGTGCCAGTTCTTACAATCTGCTATAAAAGATCTCCCTACAAAGAAGTAAATTGTCAACGTACCTTCTTCTTGACCTTCCTCCTCATCTTCCTCTGGCATGTCCTCCTCTGGCATATCTTCCCCGCCCCTGCCCTGGTGTCCCCTACCGCGTCCCCGCCCTCGGCCCCTGCCCCTACCGCGGCCCCTCCCGCCGCCTGGGCGCCCGCCCTCCTCCTCATCTTCCTCCTCTCCGTCCATCTCCCATTCCATCCTGCCGTCGTCCTCGTCCATGTGGTCATCGTCTTCCGAATCCTCATTACTGTCCACAAACAGAATTATTGGATTCGCCGTTAACACTACATGATGAAAGGCTTTGAAAACTTGAATAAGTTTGAAGTGCATGGTCTTTGCTTGCATTGACAGACATCTATTTCTTTTAACGTTACAACAAAAACTTCAACCTTCCTTTAGTCAGCGCAACTCATGGACTGCAGATATGCTTTATATCATCATGCTGACAATTCACAGTGAGGGGCGAGTTGGTTAAAGAAAAGAAAACACTTGGGAAGTCAACATAGCATACCGACAAAAAAAAACGCAACAAATCTCCCAGGCATCTCTACCAGTTTTCCACAAGTGTAAAGAGCATAAAGGTCTACCAAAAAGTTTGACTGGAAGTATTTATCAATTCAAAGCCAACGTACCTGATCTCGTCGCTGTCCTTGCCAGGCCCGCCCTCCTCGCGGCCGCGCCCGTGACCATGACCGTGGCCGCGGCCCGGGTGGCGGGGTTTGTCCTTCCTCTTAGGCGGCCTGGCCGACCCCGGGGCCAGCAGTGCCAGCACGCACAGCAGGACGAATAGGATCGCCAGCCTCATGTTTCAGCACGAGAACTTTGAACAGGCTCAAACAAACGTAGTCGAGAGCTGCAAAGACGCTGTTGCAGTGGAAGAAGCAAAGGCAAAAGCCTGAACTGAACCTGGGGAATGAAGCTGAAGAGAGTGACTTCAGACGACTCTTCTCTTGCCACCGAGAAGTGAAGACTGACTTCGCTCGCAAACTTGCGGTCTTTTATAGCCATCTCTGCCATTTCCGGTCTTTGTCTTGGTCCCGAACTTCCTGTTTTTCGGCCTGGCGGGATGTTTTGCTTCAGGTTTATCAGATTTAATTGCGAGCGGTCCGGTTCAGAGTGCGGAGGTGGGACCGCTTACGTCACCTCTCAACAAGCGGTCCCGTCTTGGAAATCCCCTTTCGCGGCGTGGACGATACCACCTGGAAAACTTGGAGGGACTTTAAGTTGCTGAACTAAATACAGGTGTTTACTAAACAATATAAACTCCACATTTTAACAGATTATTAAAATTGAAAACTTAATATACACGTAGCACACAAAAGGACTCAATCTTCTCCTAATCAAATGGACTCTTTTCTACAGCACAAAAGTAACCCTGTGGTTTTGTCCAATGGTCTAACCCACAGTGTATGTGGTCGTTAACCGGCGAATGTAAATAAGACCAAAAAGTTCTCAAAATCGTTCTTTTTCTCGTCTCATCCTCAATGCGAAAGCGCCACACATAACCAAGATTATTTTGCACACCAAGTCTGTCTTCGTCAAAGAAATCGACTTGGTTTTTGTCCATATCTTCAGGGCCCCAGACCGGCGCTTCTGTACACCTATGTGAACGTGAGTCACCTGAAGAAACCCGATCTTGTGTACACATGGGGGACGTTAACCTACAAGGCGTCTTGGAAGCCGCCCAGGTCGGGGGTACCTCAGGTTGCAACGCGTCGCGTCTTTTGGTCATTCTATAGGCGACTTGTTCCAAGTAGCCAAATTGCTGACTTAGTTTTATTTTTCAATATACCAATATAGAACAGCCTTTCTAAAAGCACGAATGTTCAAACTATTTATGGTACGGAACATACAGATTCTTCATTGACAAAGACTTTCGTATGGTCTACGCAAGGTGCACCAAAAATTGATACATGTAGTGCCATTTCACCATGTGCTCAAACGATCGCCTTTATTATTGGCTTTAATCGTGATAGAAACTTCTCGGGGGCGTGTCATTGTGGACTCGCTATCTCATGATGTATAAGGAAGGGCGTTTCCCTAAGAAAGTTAGGACAGATCACAAATGTAAGAAAATGCGCTTACGACACTCTCAAATTGAAATGAAAGAAACGGATGAGAATCGACTTCAGAGTTTTTCTGACAATGTTTTGTTACCGAAAACACCATGCCTAACAAAACGCTAGTTAAGGAACTTAATCCGCACTTCCCTGCACAGCGGGGCACCATTTCTGAGATGTCTGACATAAAGTAAACCCTCAAGATGAATTAACGTTGCATTCAAGCCCTTCGCAGTGTGGATTTGCATGCAAGCTGCGTACTGAAGTTCGTGTGTCTTGCCTGGCGTGACAGAAACTTGCCCAGGGCAGTTTGAGATGCGTAGATTGATAGGAAGACGGACGTGACTCAAGATACTGTACAAATTCTGACAGTCACAGGACTGAAACTTATTATCATTGATCATGTGACGAGTCAGACTTGTCTTGTCATTACGTGTGAGGATGGGTGGTTAATGTTAGAGGATACAAGGTTGGAACAACGGAGAGCTCCAGTTGCGTCATCATTTTCTCAATTAACTTCAAATTCCTCCCCACAAACTTCAGTGGCACCGAAAAAAGGGTGAGAGTTGGAGAGTGAGAGAGTGAGAAAGAGAGGTAAAAGAGGTAAACACGTCTCCTTGTAAAGACGCTATAGCTACTGGTTTCCCAAGCAAGCGAAGAAATTTGAGTTGCATGTCACCTTTGGGTTGACCTTCACGTCCGCAATGATGTAACGTTAAAGGTCAATCCGCAAGGTCGTCTAGTCTGAGCTGGGAACCAGATGTGGGACATGTCGTGACCTTGAGTGACGTCTGGGGATTCTTGGACTTGCCAGGGTACTCGGGAACCTTTGCCAGATGATGTGGATGGATGAGATCATGAACAACACGATAAAATCTGTCCAGTTTAATGTGTAGAAAACGTTTGATCTATCGACACGTGTTCGTCTCCCGGCATCCAAGAAAGACTGAGAACCCTAAGTGCTGTTCTAGCCTCTACCAGGCTTCAGAGGCAGCTGGAAAGAGTAGAAATTGGCCAAATAGACAGATGATATGCCAAGGGAGTACGTCCCGGAATAGTTACAAAGGAGTACAGCTTGCCACTGACTTAGTGTACTCCTTCGAATTCAGCGGATGTTATCTGTCTCTTTGACCACTGATTTCTCCTTTTTCCAGTCGCCTCTGAAGCCTGGTAGAGGCTAACGTTATAGCTGCTATACCCCTCACTGACATTAAAAACACGAGCCTAAAGAAATGAGAACGATGCATGCGTTGAAGATACCGACTTCCCACGGTAACACAATACTTTGGGACTCTATCAGTATGTATAACTGAGGGTTGCACTATCCATTTGTCTTCATTGGTATAAGTAACTTTACACTTCCGGTGGGCTAGGAGTTGTAGCGGAAGTCAATACAGATCGTTTCACGTTCAAGTATCTTGTTTTGGTATAGAGAAACCCCGACTAATCAGATTTTTTTTGTTTCTTCCTGGCGCTAGAGTGGGCTCAAATTTTATTCAACATAACAGTTACTATAACGTTATAGTTACTAAACCTTTTCTTCTTGGCTCAGTAATATTGAAGGCCAGTAGTCAACATAACTGACAATGGGATTGATCCACTTTTCCACACATGATACATGATATGAAATGTATGAAATGATACACGTAAATATAAAATGCTTACAGTTACATTGTCATTTTGCTATCTATAGCGATACAGTGTAATACAGGCCAGCACCTTTTCTCACATGTGCGCTTTTCAAGTTCTATCTTATTGTTATTCGGAGCAAAAACAACTAACGCATTCATTGGGTACCTAGTGTCTTTGGTATTAAAGGTCGCGCTACGTTTGAAAAGTGTTTGTGTCGCTGTAACGTCAACGCTGGGTCATATTTACTTGGTAAATACACATGTGTGGTAGCCTATGGTGTATATATTTGTAGACGTAGCTACTGCTATCAAAGAAAGTAACGCAACGGTTTGATTATAATTTAAAAAGAAATAGGCGACTTAGCGGCTTGAATTTGGACCTCTTTACTGTACGAAATAATTTTGTTGGAAGACAGGTCTATTGTAGCTTCATTTTCCCTGGTCTTAATAGGACTGACGTTAATTAAGCCAATATCAATATTCTCTACCGGACGTCTGTACCACATTCTGCACTTCAAAGGCATTTCGAAACAGGTGTCAGAACGCAGACAACTGCAAATATACCTCATATTTTCTACTCGAGTATTGAAGCTTTGATTTGAAATTAGAAAAACAAAGTATCATGAACCATTTACGAAAATAAAATTTGGCAAGAAGGAATTTCATCTGTATCGCTCTGAAATACAATGATTATTTATTCAATGCACAGCGTTTTGCTGCCGTTAGTCTCGTTCTCTGGGTCAGCACCGGGTACGTTGAGAACGAGAGCGAAGAGCAGGTAAACTTTGCATACTTTGAATGATCGAACGGAAAAGGCGGAAAAACGTCATTTTTTTTCACGGTGAGTGCCAAGTGCCTGTGTGTGTTAAGACGAAGAGATATTTAGCAAACTTAATCAACTTCTTTTACAATCGTTGTGTGTGTAAATATGTGTAACTGGAACGACGTTTTCGCAGGTAAGTTAGTGGGAGGGGGGCGATATGTTTGTATACGGAAGTATAGTCGTTTAGCTAAATCAGCAAAATTCATAAATCATTTAGTATTGAATGTTTTATGGTAATTAAAGACTAGCTCAGGGTTGAAGTTGATTTAAGAAGATGTCATCTTTTCAATAATACATTATATGGTGAGGCAAAAATTTATATGGACACTCTTTCTTGAAGTCAAAATCTAGGACAGTTCAACAATAACCGAATCCAATGATGTTACCCTTTTCCTGATTCCAAGTTTGGATTTCTCGGCAGCTCTGACTGTGAAATCAATTCTTGATCTGATACTGACTGTCCAAAAAAAGATTAATCAGGTATGTGATACAGAAATTAACGTTCTTCAATAATTTGTTATCGAGCATCTAATTGTAGTCTAAAAAATTCCAATGCAATACAGTCGTGCTGTCCATATTCAGAATAGAATACTGCGTAGTGCCGTACTCAATGTTAAGCAAATTCCAAAAAGACCTCATCATGCAAACATTTATTTTATTACAACCCCCAGTAATAATATTTTATTCCTCCGCAGATTTGATTCAATTTATAGTCCTCCCAAATGACCTTGGTACTGATTTTGTGGTGACCTAGATCTTATTGATTTTCTGTGGAGCTGCCCTGTACATCATGTTACCCCACAGCAGATTATTCTGCTGGCTTATCAGGTGTGATTCAGTGTCCTTCACAGGCTAGTGGCTTGATTTGTCCATATTCGGGATTCTTGTGCCAATTCTAAGCTACTACTCTAAAAGGTAGAATGTAGTTTCATTGTTATGTCGGCACAAGTTTCTAATATATAAGGTAGGTATCATTTATCTTTAACATTACTGACATAGGTAACGTTACATGTATTATGTTCTCCGAGATTAATGAATTACTAGTATGTGCTCGCAAGGAATATTCTTTTACATCATCTGGACAGGTGATTTTATGGATGGGCCTCATCGGTCATTATGTTATATAGCACAAGTTTATAAATTTCGAGGTAGGTACCATGAATATTATTGTCAGTATGTACAGTATTAATTATAATCCATCACAATTGTCTTATAACAGCATATGCACAATGTACTAACAAGGAATATCATTTTATATCATCTGGTGATGTTACAGATTGCCCAATATATGGGGGACATACTGTGACTCAGAAGTCTATATGTATGTGACAGTCAACAGAACACTGATCACATTGTGGTAATTCTTTTAATCAGTAGATCCTATTAATGTGGTGTATTGTTTCCTCATTTAGTCACACTAGGTTCTGACTTGTGGTCTCATGACTGCCATGAGATTGCTTCCCCGGGGTCTGCCTATTTACCGGAATACACCGGAAAACACAGTTAAACACCGGAAAACACCGGAAAACACATATAGGAGGCTAAAATCTACCGGAATACACCCTGATATGATGAGATAACATACTGAATTGCTGTATTTTGACATGAAGTCACGTGTATATCGCCGCGGGAACAAGAAATCGTTATGAATTGGCGATCGGCGATCGCGGAGGCGAGCCGACCAGTCGCCATGTTTGTTTACATTGCCGACTACGAAATGTTTGTTTAACGCGATCGCCGTACAGAAGTGAAATTTACCGAAATGAAGAGGTCTTTGATGCAGGTACCGCAAGTTGCTACATTCTGGCATGAAATAAGTCGTATATGACTTTGTTATATGATGTTGGGAACAAGAAATCACTATGAAGCGGCGGAGTCGACCCGGCCAGACGCCATGTTTGTTTACTTAGCAGCCGGCTATAACGCTAGTGAACCTTTATCCGTCACTTTTTCTCAGTGACAATCATGTTACGCCAATTTCCTAAAAATGATGAACCGTTTTTCTTGTCCTATTATATGTTGACACCGTAGAGTACCTTAGTCCTTTTTGCTGAATATGTTTCGCTGTTTCTCCGATCCCGCTGATAAGAAAATCGCGTACTAAACCAAACACAGCCGATTCGCGTTTATGCAGGGTTGTTTTAGGGAGATGAACCTTTATCCGTCACGGATATACACACCACAACTTTCTCTGTATTGTTTGCCTTTAGACAACATCTGTTACTAGTATTTTCCGAGGTGGGCAATGAGTGCCCGAAATTCAACTAGTCCCCGTCCTACGATACAAAGAAAATACGGCAAAACGAATGTACAGTGTTGACAACGCCCGATTTAATCGGCGATAGTCAGCGGAGCTCGTACAGTTCGAATGCACGCGTGTTATGTCCATCGCGATCTTGTCTTCAACTCGGCGACCCACCGGCGAATCCAGAGGGGGGCGCACCCGGCGCCTGTTCGACCGGGCAAAAAAAAATTAGACGACTGGCCAAACACAAAATCGGAGAAAAAAACATAACACATACAAAGAATAGAAAGTAAGCCTATGGTTACGACCAGTTCTTCCCGGATACGTCACGGACTGTAGAAGTACATGGCCGGGGCGACGGAGCGCCGCGCACGTGTTAATAATCCAGATTTTACACTATTAGCGGGCACGCCCCACCACGTCTAGACTCGATTATTGTTTACTTGTTAACACACTACTGTGAATCCCTAACCTCTGTGCCTCCCATCTATCGTCGATATTAACACGACGTTGCAGTAAAACAAGACTCGGACGCACTCCCCAGCGCAAAGACGCGCCGTGTGCTCGTAGGTCATGCTCGTAGGTCATGCTAGCCAGCCGCCGATCTCAGTGGAACCCCGGCCGAAAATAAATACCCCCGTAAGAGTAAACACAATTCTAAGAGGGTTGGTAAGATTTAAAATGGTCTGCAAAACGAACGTTCCTGGTCGTCGTGACGTAACATGAATATAACATGGCAGTTGTGCCTCAACTGATGGCCAGTTCTAATGCACTTTCGACTCTAGTTAACACAGAAGTTTTTAACAAAGATTATATCCATGTAATGCATGCCGTTACAAAGGTTCAGTTGACCAAGGACATTATGTCCTTGAGTTGACAGAAATCTTTTCACTTCGTATCACGAAATCTGTTTAAATCCTAAGAAATGCTGCAGGAAAATTAATTTGGAGCGGGACTATACCAGCCAGCGGTACGAAGTGAAAATGCGGGGTATATGTACACGGCACGGTTTGCTACAATATTTGGGCCTTTGAAATCTTTTGCCGCCCGCCCGGTGGGCGGGGCCAATGCCTGTGCTGAGGGCGTGACGCCGCTCTGTCTGATCAGGACGTGCCGTCGTCTTGGCAACACGTGGGAACGTCCCAGCGATGATAAGCTTTCCACCTTTGATTTTGTGACATAAGCAGTAGTTTACGAGATATTTTTTAAAAACCTTTTCGCTCGTTCCCGTTCAGAATAGTAAGCCCTAGTAGCCCCTCGTTCTTGTTCGTTTGCGTCAAATTTTAAATTCGGTAGCACAGGCTCACTCCTCCGCAATCGATTTTTTTTATAAACTAGCTACGCCGAGCTAACTTTTCCGTGGTCCGGCCAGGTTACAGCAGGCAAGGTGGCCTCATTCAATGTGTGTCTTCCGCTGACACCCGGCGCTCCAGAATTTAGTATTGTCCTAAAAATTTTGTGAACTCTTGAAAATGGTAAACATGTACGCGGCGCTCCGTCGCCACGGCCGTTACTTCACATGTTGTCACATTAGTGTTATCCGTTAGTGTATTTGAGTGCTGCGATGTTGTGACCGCGCGTTCCCCGCGATCGGAAAATGATTTAAGTGATCCGGTCTATAAAGAGGCGGCATTTCCTTTTGTATGTGGTTCTTTTTTTCGCTAACTTAGATGCATCGCGAACTCTTTATTTGCCCCGTTCCGTGAAATTTAGTCGTCCAAAACATAGATGCATTTTCAATATTCTATTTTCTCAGTCGTAAAATGTACCGACAGGGAGCGACAAGCACATGAATGTACTGAAAACATCAGTATTACTTCGTTGGTTATTTGCTCAGAAATGACTCTAAAATACACCAGAGAGACTCTCAATTTTAAAAATTACCTGGACGGTAGTAAAAGAAACACATATAAAAATACACATTTTTCCCGGGAAATATGCAAATCTTACATCACGTGTGCCTGCTACGCGTCTCTGATTGGTTGAGTTTCTCTGCCGGCAAAAACAAGCGTGGGGACGCCCGCTCAAATAGTTTTCTTTGTTTGAAAATAACGCTAATTTCCACCACTACATAACGAAATTCTTGTGAATAAATGTATAACTCAAAAAGTCTTTTGGGGAAATAAATATTCTTATCCGGATTTTTGGTGTATTTGGTGTTCTTTATTCATGATCGAATGGTGCCGAAGTCAGCGTACCCTGACGCTCATGAGCGATTCGCGATCGCCTAAATATCGCTGAAGAGAACATGTTCAGATCCTGGCGATTATGTTTTAGATCGACTACGATAAATCTTCAGGGCTGTCCTCGGCAAAATCAGATGAAATTTCAGTGTCAAGCTTTGCAGGAAATTATCAAATGCCGTCGCTCGCTGACGCACGCACTGGCTCTGTGCGGATCCACAGTGGTGCGGGTCATTGACCTTCGATTTGCGTTGCTTCCGGAAAATGTCTGGCAGTTTTATCGTCGGATTTTTGCGCTTTTATCCAACAGACCGACCTCGTAGCAATCATTCACGGGCATCCCATGCAACTATCTTTCTTCCAACTAGTTCGGAGTTGTGTGCACTGTGTATGGGAACCGCATCAATCTGAATAATCAATTCTCTTCTGTGATGGCGCTAAACAAACATCGTAGTCGGCAATGTAAACAAACATGGCGACTTGTCGGGTCGCCTCCACCGATCGCTAAATTATAATGATTTCTTGTTGCCGGGTTCCTGCGGCGATTTACACGCTATTTAATGGCAAAACACAGCAATTTGGGATGTTATCTCGTCTAAGCAGGGTGTATTCCGGTAGATTTTAGCCTCCTATATGTGTTTTCCAGTGTTTTCCGGTGTTTAACTGTGTTTTCCGGTGTATTCCGGTAAATAGGCAGACCGCTTCCCCGTCATCAGCTGATCCACGTGGGATTATCGTAATCACTTCTGTTCATCCACTTACAGTACTTAAGGGATTATACTGGACACCTGAACTGATGCCATATTCTCTATATTGGACGGATAAATGGATGGTTTAGTTAGAAAAGTAAATGTACATGTTTGAAATTCATATTATCCTAACAACCAGCTTTTTTCCTTTTCTTTGGCAGCCTATGGTCTTCAATGGAGGTGTATGTCAACTAAAATTTGTTCTAATTTGTTTTTGATTCGAATGCATAAGAGACTGTAGCTTTTTGTGCAAAACAGATTTCCAATTCCCCTCTTAAGTTTTACTACTGTATTCTACTTGTATAGTTACAATTAACAAATGCACAGACTTTTGAACAACATATTGCAGCGTACTGAAATGTGTTTACAACTTTCGCCATGTCATTCCAGGGTCAAGGCCTGTTGGCAAACATCCTTAACTGAAACCATGGCACCAAATTGCACAGCAGATACAAAGCCCATTTTATTACATACCAGCAGGTGCGCGTTTTTGGCAACTCTCGTGTTCTAGCAATGCCAATACTATGAATATGTGATATAGTACCAGTAATATACTTTGACGAGAGGTGAGTTTAAACTTGTGAGCCTTGAATAATGTATTAGTTGAAAAACATATTCTGTATTACTATTAGCCCCTACTTTAACTATGGCTGGAAACAGAGGTGGATACTGTGTCACAGAATTTATGGTGCCATCTGGGAGGTAATGATATTTGCCATGCATGTTTGACGCCCAGTTGCAAATCTAAGAAGGTTCTGAAGCCTGTCAGTGTCTCCAGCATTGCAGTTAAGAAGACAGAAAAAAACTCGGACAATTTGGCCCAGTTGGGCAGCCAAGTACATAGATTTATAGTAGACCGAAGCAATATAGAAATTGATTATTTGAGTCGCGTAACTATTTTTTATTGCATGAATCATGTACCAAGTTGATCAATCGCGCATATTGAATAATTGATAAGGTCCTTTTAATCAACTGTAGTTACTGGCATGATTGATACAATCTACTGCCTTGGCAATTTATAAGTGAAACACTTGGCTGGATTACTGTAGAGCAAGGAATCTAATGCGGCCAATCTACTACTAGTACTAGTATTCAGCTCAAAATCTGTTCACATACTGCACTACTGAACATTGCTTAGCTTTCGCAGATTATTTTTGACATGAGGATATCAATAATAATATTAAGAACATAGATTCATAGTGAAATTTGCAAATTCTCAGTACGGCATGGTTTTGGATACATGTAGATCCGTCCGATAGAGATCAATAAATTGTGGTGTCTCATCCCTTTTAATAAGGTTTTGCATAGTCTAAGGATTTATCCAACAAACCAGTAGGTTTTGGAATGGTTCCCAGAAAATGCAATTATCTCACAGATCAGGGACAGCAGAAGGTATGACTCTGTCTGTTTTCTGTCCAGAATTGCATGGGTTATTGGAAATATTTGGTATGAGATTTAACTGACTGTGATTAATCAGATTTTATCCTGTATAATAGGGATATCCCTATATCTCTACTTTGTGATATCTAGCTACTGCAGTGATACAGTATCTATGTAGCAGTTATAACTTTTATAATATATAAGACTTAATGGTCTGAGGTTAAGTCCATAATTACAAGGAAGAAAAATTTTAGCTTCTGTATAATGTCCTTGGTATTAGTAATTTAAATAGATAACAATGGACAAGTTTATAAAGTACAGCCAAAACAGTAGAAACTAAAAGTCTATTATTTTTTACTGGGAATTGTCTTTGTAAATGTGGCATGTCATTGCCAGACCTTAGTCAGACAGTGTCTACATGTGTGCTGAGCCACCATGCATCAGACCCTGATGCTTGCAGACCATTGATTGACTGTCTGTCTGCTGTGGAGGGAAAGTTCATTAGCCTCACCATGGCAACCCTTCACTGCCAGGCTGATGGAACATCTGTTATTTTGGGAGCTGGATGGGAAATGACGGGGGACCTTACGACCTCTGAGTTTATGCAGGCACGAAACCGCTCGTCGTTCGGCAGAATACTTGGGCGCCAATGGGCGGTGTCAACAGAAGCAGCAGAATAGTATGTACAAAATGTATAACAGTACTGTAACAGTTGTATTTGTAAAAAAAATAAGGATTTTGAGTGTTTGTCATTCCGTTTTAATTCAAAGCTTTAATTTTTTAGGTGGTCTCACATTTCAAGGATTTTTTATGTACCATCTGTCGTTGTCAACCTAAAAATTACGTTTATAGCCAATAATTCCAAGAAGAGCTATTAATATTCTGTAAAATAGTACATACTAAGGTAGTTTTCATTGTGCTGCTTTTGTTTTGGTCAAATGACTTTGAGTTTAGAACTTTGTGAGTTGGAAGTGTGCCAACGAAATTGTCACAACAAAAAGACGGGGATCTCCTGTCACCCCTCCGAACCGAGTGCAGTTGGTTGCTTCCATTGTGTGAGATCTGCCTCTGACATCAAAGGTCAACGACCTGCACTTAATGTACACGACAATTTTAGCTAATCATGTCTACCAGACCATTAACATGATGGGGAGGACTGATATAGACCTCCGAGCTGAATAACAATGCTGGTGGTATAACTCTGTGACAGGGGTCTACTAGTAGATGCTATTTTGGACAATATAACAGTGTTTTCTGAGATCAAACCAAGTCCAAGAGTTGATAAAGTAAGTCTCCATAAAGTTAGACTACTTCTCATAGAGCTTGACTTCTATATACAGGATTACACTTTTACTTGACAATGACTATATGTTTTCATTTGCAGTGAGTTACTTCATTTTTCAGCCATGCACTGGGAATGAACATGTGAACTGTGTACAGTGTACTTCATTGCATAGTTGTCACGTTTCCAGTGCCTAATACATTGTAGTTGATAGTCTACTTTCTAGTACTCAATGGCATGTAATTTTCTTTGAATGTGGATTGCTCACTGCAACTTGGTCTTCTTTAACTGAATAAGGTACATTTGATTTGTCTAGAAGAGTTGAGGCAATATTTTTTCCCTATTAAAACCAGAATTTTACTCTGTTCTTCACCACAGCACGTCAGCAGCACAGGGTACTCGACCTATATTTATCGTGAAATTGAGCAATTTGGGTAACGAGCATCCTGCGTTATTCCCACAGATGACATGAGAGGTTGCTAGCCGTTCCAAATGCAGACCCCAGTACAACACAGGCAGCTCCGGTCTGCCTCACGGTCACGCGCCGAGTCCGCCAGGCTCGACTCTGTCAGCTCAGATGTCAGTATTATGGAAACAGGTATGTACTCAATCTAACATTTTTGTCTTCGCTAAGTTGGACTTCTTGTAAACTCTGCTATAGTAACATGCTGGTTGTACTATTTGTAGAGTAAAGCATATACAGTAGATAATAATAAATATGGCTTCGAAAACAGTAATTGAACTGGTTTGGCTCTTCATTCATAGTGATATAGACTTTAAAGATACTAAACACTCCCATGTTGTTATCTGTTACATTGTTGTAATTGACAGTTTGTTGGCTTGAAAATGCATCATTTTACAATGTACATTCTCTGGACCTTTTCTTCCTCATTGTAGAGTAAACAGCTTGTTCTGTTCTATTCTTGGCATGTTGATATACTTCCTTCAACTCTACTTCCTCAAAAAAAGTTATTCTGCCCTTGTTTTGCCCTGTACCTTAATTACCGATTGTGTATTCAGTGCATGCATGGAAAGTAACATATAGACAGGCTAAAACAGCATACATAGCCTCAGGCATCGTTGGCATTCAACTGGATCATGTCAGTAGGTTATATGTAGTTCAAGTCAAGCAGAAAGGTCTTGTAACAACAGCCTGAGAATATGGCAGGCTACCAAAACCCGCTGGGCCGCTCAGTCTTCTCTGCTGCAGTTCCTACACTACAGTCTTGCACTATGTGATTGAATAGAAGTCGGCTGCAGTTATGAACGCCTTAGCTTGTTCTTTTGCAGACCTAGACATGGATCCCTTCGCACAACACTTCTCAGCACTACAGGAGGCGGCACTGGTGCCTATGAAGGAAGACTTGGCCGACTGGCTCAACAGACTACTGGATATCAACGTCTCTGTGGATAACTTCATGGAGGTGGGGAGGAAAAACATTTCAGTTGTTTGTTTTGATGGGTGAACAGTTGATACATGGACTTGTGACTTAATGCCCTGCCTACCTACACAGGCCATGTACTGTCCTTCATGACGTATAGGTTTGGATTGATACACAGACACAACTTCAAGAAAAACTTGTCAGACTATTGTGTGCATTGTTCCCACGGGTGCAGTGGTGTTTCGTTTGGGGGGGGGGATTGCAAGGCATTGACAGATTTGTGACATCCACAGGTTAGCTGCTGTCCTCTAGTTCACCTTCATGGCTTCAACTATACTGAATAAAAAAGTTTGGAAAGAATAGAGATGTACACAGCTGCTTTACATAAGACACAACTTGTCTGATTATTGTGTACAATCATAGTGTGAGATATAAAAATTAATGATGCCTTGTTCCCACAGGTGCTTGAGTCAGGTGTTGTGGTGTGCCAGCTCGCCAACTTCATACAGCAGAAAGCTCAGCAGCAGGCAGCGGGAGGGGGGGACTCGGCCGTCCCAAAACCCGTCAGGTGTTTCAAGAACGCCAAGACGGGAAGCTTCTTTGCCCGAGATAATGCTGCCAACTTCCTGACGTGGTGCCGTAACCTGGGGGTGGCGGAGGCTTGCCTGTTTGAGTCGGAAGGGCTGGTGCTACAGAAACAGCCCAAGGAGGTTTGTTTGTTTTTATTTGCTGTAAATCACTGTGTTGCTGTAAAATTTTTTCATGATACCATTATATTTCCGATTTTCATGGTCACCTCTGTACCACTAACTTATCATTACCGTGAACAAATAACACCTGCTGCCACCACGAATGTATAGTTCCCCAAACTTGTCCATTTTTCTTTGACTGCGAACATGAAGTGATTTACAGTATTCGCACATTGTGTACGCATAATAATTAAAGAATAAAAGGAAAACCAATGTGAAGGAGGGGTAGGAAGCCTGGAAGGCTTATAAAGAGCCTGTCTCCTTCAGATTTAACAGATAATAATCATGGAATTATTAGATCTATAATCATTGATTAAAAAAATTAACAAAAACAAAGATATTGCCAAGCAAAGAAAATTTACAGGACCAAAAAGCAAATGCTACAAATATAATACAACTGAAATATTACAAAACATTCAATGATAAAAACCTAGGTCTGCCTGTGCCTGATGGAGCTTGCCAGGCTGGCCAGCCACAAGTACGGGATCGACCCACCAGGGCTGATACAGCTGGAGAAGGAGATAGAGCAGGAAGAGGTGAAGTCTGTCGTGGTGCCACAGAAAACGCCAGCCAAGAGATCACCCAAGAAGAGACAGAAGACTTCAGGGACACTAGATGACGAGGTAGGTGTGAAAGATGATGTCTGTTGGTGAGATTGCTGTAATTATTGTATGTTAGATTATCGTTATTGATGGTTTACAGCTTACATGTAAGTGTGAGTATATGTAACCTCCGTGGAATTGCAAAATAACTTCTGAATGAGTAACTTTCAATGACATGCAGACCATGTTTTTTTATTGTTCCTTATTATTTGTATTGTTTTCTCATTGTTTGTTTCTTTACTTGTCTCAAGCTCGCAACCCGTATCTGTACAGAAATATGTTATCAATGAAACTCAAACAAAATTACTTATATCATTTTGAAAAGATTGGATTGAAATTTCAAGAGATCAAGAGTCAGAAATTTCAAGAGAGTAAAATATGAAGCAATCACTTGATAATGATCAAGAACTATATGTATTAGTATACATTTTCAGTTGTTTCTCTTTTCTCTCATTTTGAAAAGAATGGATTGAAATTTCAAGAGAGTCAAAAATGAGGCTGATGATATTTCTGGGTCTACTTTAAAATCAGCTCATGTAGCTGTAGGAGCTATGCAGGTGTCTTAGATGAAATAAATGGCTGAATGAATAAATGTTAGGATATACATGTGTGTATTAGTATACATTTTACGTTGTTTCTCTTTTCTCTCCCAGGTGCAGCGAATATCTGGCACCTGCCAGTGTCACCACACCCCCTTCAGTCTGGAGAGGCTGTCGGAGGGACGGTACCGCATCGGGGACAAGATAGTGTTCATCCGTATGCTGCGCGGTCGGCACGTGATGGTGCGCGTTGGCGGGGGCTGGGACACGCTGCAGCACTATCTGATGAAACACGACCCGTGTAAGATGATCATCGTGGGCCGGGACGGGACACAGCTCGCCTCCGCGCCAGGGGGACAGGTGCACAGTATGACTCCTGACAAGCTGATACGGGATGGGTTCCTCTTCTGTAGGGCAAACTACAAAACTCCCAGTAAATAGAGCAGCTTGGAAATGTTCCAACACCCTTAGACTTTTTTTGAATGTTCATCTGTGTTGGTCAAAGTCATTACAAAGCAACTGGGATTTCCAACACAAGAAATTGGACTTACGCAAATTTTTTACTTGATTTGTACAGTTACCAAAATTTGGGTAAGTCCAATTTCTTGTGTTCCAAAATACAGTTTAAACTTGCTATATGCCCTTAGACTTTATTAGTCATGCACAAAACACATTAGGCTTCTTATATTCATTCCATGTAGATACAGCAAATATATTATCTGTTCTCATAGTAATGTACTATGCAGATTAATATTCAGAACCATTACCATTAATTTTTCCGTGCAGTCTACCATTGTTGTGATATAGACTATTTTCCACTGTCTACAAGACTCTTAATATATTTATCCAACATATGCAGTTAACATATCTGATGTTTTTCTTGGACCATTCAGTAGTAGACGTTTTTCCTTCTCTTAGTTTAAAGTCAGGATAACGTTTGGTCTTCCCTTGCATGACACAAAAGATAACATATATAGCCACTTAAAGGACACAGCCATTTTATGTTTATGTTCAAAGTAACTGTAAGGCCATGTTCAAGTATTATGAATATATAATTCTTTCAGGATCTAGGAGACAATTCAATCATACTCATGTCTTTCCTTCATTTACCCAGTACATTCCACATTCTGTTTGTCTCATTTTTGTGTAAACTATTCATGTGTACATGTTTGAAGATGTGTTTCTATAAATTTTAATGTTCGTTGATCATTTAGATTTATATTATACCTACCTATAGGTTGAGGTAAACAAGCACCTGTCAAATTATTTTTCAAGTTTATAGTAACTTAGTAAGTGTGTGAGACATTTCTTATTGTAATAAGTAAGGACTTTCCTTAGAGACACAAGTCCTCCATAATAATAGTTATTTCAAGCAATATATCTTAGGTAGAAATGTATATGTATATATAGATAGAAGGAGGTATGTTTTTAGTACAATTGTAAGCAATCTATGGGTGCCTCGATGTACAAAATCTCTACTGTTACACTGGTGAGTTAGGATAATAAGCTAGAAGTAAAATTCACAGTGCCATAAGTGAAGAAGTAGAAAGGAGAAGGGTGAATTGTGATGGTGTCTTGCCACTGTTTAAGATGTACATGTATGACCAATGTTGTGCATTTTGATAGGTAACTACTGATAGAGTGTGTATACATAGATACAACCAGAGTGCAAACAATAGTTTGTAATATGATGTAAATTTTATGGAAGGTACCTAAATGTACAGAGTTTTGATAATAGTTTGTACTGGTAGTATGTCAATGGAAGTGGGGGTTAGAATTATACAAGCAATAGTCAAGAGGATATAGGGCATTATTTGAAATGGCAAGTTGAACGTTAAGTAAATCACAGCAATTTAGGCCTTTTAAGAATATCTCATTAAGTAGCTTTAACTAGCTTCATTTCCCTTAATTCACCACTCATTTTCTTCTTACAAATTTGTTTTAATAAAACAACAGACCAGTTTTCAAGTGGACTAAAATATAACCATACCAGACAGAGGTGACATTATGCAGTATTTGTTGTTAAGTGCATCTGGATCTCAAACCACTTAAACTGGCTCTCAGACTAATTGCTAATAGGTGTCATGACCAGATGTCATCTCAGATAAACATGAAGCAGATGTGCACAGATACATGTAATGTAGGTCTACTCTACACATTTTTGGCATAGGATTTTGAGAATTGGAAAAAGTGAATATTTATATAGAAATCCTCTCCAATGCAAGGGTGAAAAGAGGTAAACCTAAACAATGTTTTTATAATGTTACTCAGACATTGTGTTCAAAATGTAGTAAATAGCTAAGATTCATCTGTTTATCATTGATATGAGATTAAGCCAACTTAGTCTTAGATGTATTATTATACATGTATGTATTATACATTATTATATATGTATTTGTGTTTTAAGGAGGTGAAATAGAGATTAAGTTAATTTGTGTGACCCATCGAGCTTATTGTACATAGAAACTGGGATACTGAGTGGTGCATGTGTGTTGTGTGTATGTGTGTGTTTCTCCATACAGATTCATATACATATACTGGTGGCTGGTTGAAATCAATATTTTTTGTGCATACAATACACAGAGTTACTGACTTTGCTCGTCTTGTATGGATACTATTTATGTCTTTAAGTAATACTACCTGATTGTCTTTCTTTTGAATGATGTGGTATGATATACCAGTTTTGTGTTATGTAAAAATCATAATTTTGACATTTGTTTGGCCATTTTTGTGTAATGCTATTTAATATATATCAGGCAGCAGTGTTTGTATGAATGCAGTTTTGAAGTGATTTCTGTATATATTTGCAGTATAATGTTAACTTGGAATTTGATAAATTTTATATTCTTAAATGCTGCTATGATTTCTTTGCTTGCTTCCCTGAAATCTCTGAAAAGCTGTTTTGGCTCTGATACATGTATGATTAATTTTAGCTAAATTATGGATTTGGGAACATACACTTGCAGTATCATAACTGTTTGCTTTTTGTGACAATTAAATGCAGTCCTTATGCCTCAATGATTTGATTTGTGTCACCCTCATTGCTGTTGTTTTAATGATGACTAGAGAGATAATTTTTATCAATGAAAAGAAAAACCTTAGAGACATTCATGCAGACAATTTCATACTCTTTTATTGCTGGTTCCAAAGCTGACATATATCGATCAATACTGACTTTGTCATCATTGCAAATTATGAACAAAATAGCTTTTAATAACTTATCGCTAATGAATTATTTGATTGCAGTTAACATAACCAAGGTTGGCTTAATATGTATCAGAAATGAATACTGATTGTGCATTTATTTAATATATGACTAATCATTTTCCACTCTTCACAGTAGTTGGAATGAAAAAAAAAACAAGGATTTACGTGGCAAGATTGTGTGCACTGGAGATTTCAAAATATACAGATTTTGCTTGACTTGAAAGTAAGAAAGTAAGTATAAAAAGAGTATTCTTTACAGTTGCAGCATTCATGGTAGACTTTACTTGGTAGTTTGAGAGCCCTTCTCAACATCTTAAGATACAGATAAAGTACCAAAGGATTGAAGGTTTTTATCATAATATGGAAATAAATAAAGGGATAGAGGGCTAAGCAAACGATGTGTGCCCTGCCTTAACATCATAATTTCCACATCATATGTTACCATAGATGCCTGATTGTTGATGCTAACATCAGGTATCTTGTACAGTTTAATGTAAGTCAATCTCACCTCTCACCCATTTCCTATAATCTCAAAATATACAAGTGTAATTATGATTAAATATTTAAATAATTATATATAATATAAATTGCACTTCAACAGTTCACCACTCACCCTACATGAACAATCCTGCCGACCCCAAAATTAACATGAAAGTTTGATACTTTATTGCCCCGATCATATATTTATACTGTTTTCCTCCGAAAGCTCCTCAGGAATGATTGTTGATCATTCTATTATAGAAATGTCAATCACTACACGTAGATTCCATCAAAATAAACAATAACCTGTTCTCCTGAACTCTGAATGTATAACATTCATATACATTGCATGCTCCTGTCATTATTGCAAACTCCAGTACTTTAGGATATATATAGCCAGGAGGAAGAATTCATGGGAGCTCCTGTCCCCTTTATTAACTTATCTAATTCAATTAATTTATTATAATTTCTTAAATTTATTCATTAATTTATTATAAATTTTCTTAATTTATGTTTTTAAACCCTCATTTTTCTTTGCAATTCTCTTGCAAATGATTCTAATAAATTATGCTCCTCATTTAACTTTCCTAGTTCCTTATTAAGGTTCTTGGTCCACATTTAGGATTTTTGTGTTGGACTCCTAAAACCCTGTCCTTGGTGCTGAACCCTATATCCAGCACCAGGGACAGAGACACAAATCTTGTGTTGTTTAGTGACAAGGACAGGGACAGCAGCCTACATGTAAGCAGTGTTTTATATATACCAAGGACCGGACACCAGTCTATGTGGTGTATCATTCAGCACCAAGGACAGGGACACCAGTCTACATGTAAGTGGAGTCATACCAAGGACAGGACATCAGAATAATAGCGGTCCGAAGGCCCCAAACTCTGTAGCCAGAGCCAGGCCCAGGAAGGCGACATACACGACAATCAGGTAGATTCCATACCCTCTCCCGACCTTGAACTTGAACAGCGGGATGAGGATGAGAGAGGAGAGGAGACTGAACCCCAGACCTCCCGCCAGGACTGACTGGAGCTTCGTTCGCTTCAGCTGCAGGTAGAAACAAGAACATCATGTCAGGACGGGACTGTTAACGCTTGGTTCAGTAAGAAACCATGTATTCAGCACCAGGGACAGAGACATAGAAGCTTTAACACTGGAGCATCGTACGCTTCAGCTGCAGAGAGGAAGAAACAACAATTCAAATCATGTTCAACTCTTAAGGTGGACCACGGAATAGTGGATTGACAATATAAGGGAGAATTTCCACCACCAGATTCTACACATGTAAGTCTGGGAAGAGGCACATGGCGGCTGCCATCAATGAGGAAAAACAAAGGATAAATCAGAGAGTGAGAGTGAGTGGTTGAGTGAGTGAGTGAGTGAGTGGTGGAGTGAGTGAGTGAGTCAGTTAATGTTTATGCTTAGTTCAGCAAAAAAACATGTTTTCAGCACCAGGGACAGTGACACAAGCCTTCACATAGTGTTTTTAGTGACAAAAACACATGCCAGCCTTATTAGTGCATTATTCAGCACCAAGGACAGGGATGTAAGACTTACCGGAAAGTTCCCTCCAGGACTCTTGATGGTTGCTAAGGTACAGGAGATGCCTATGCCCATAAGCATGTCTGTTGAGGGTTAAGGACAACAACATCCCCTTCTTTTGGTGGTTTATTTACTATTGCTTTATCTGCTGGGTTACATACTGGGGTATCTACCATTCTGAAAAAACTGTTTGTCTTCAAAATCTCTATTAGATTACGTACATTATTATCATAACAAAATTGATATTTGTGAAAGGATACTGAAGAGCGGTCCACCGAAGCAGGCTGACACTCCCATCCTGGGGAAACCCTGCCTGGCCATCGCAGTGTCTGCCACCAAGTCTGTGGGATATCAGAAAAGTTTTATGTCTTGCCGGTAGGGGGAAAGTATAACTACATGTATTAGCATATTATGTTGGCCTGTAGTGCATAGCAGAGCAACAATTGGACCAACTAGCCACTCACAGACTCACAAAGATGAGTTAAGGTCCTCATTTATGACAAAGGAAGAACGTAATCATGGTAAAATTTTAGGAATTATTTTTAGAATAATGATTTAACCCTGACATTGCCCAGTGATTAAAAAGTGCAGGGAAATAGCTACTTTCACTGTGACTTAAAATCACACAGTCAAACCCCTCCCAGACTTATACATGTAGTAGACTTACCTCATAAACTACAAGTCATATAGCTACTAGTACTGCCACAGTATAACACAGGCAAACCCACCTCCAATACTGTTCCCCCACGCCAGCAGGGTCAGTCCCAGGATGGCGTCACTGATGTTGAAGACCAGACCGAACGCCTGGAGCAGGTTCACGATCTCATTAGCTGTGGCGTAGATCCAGACCACTGACACTACAAATGCCAGATAGCCAAAAGCCTGCAGGGATGGAAGCAACAGTTCAGAGATAATTCAGATACAATGTATACTCTTGTGAAGAATAAGAGATTTCAAGCTGGTATACTTCCAAGAAGTCTAAAATCTCTGATTTCTTGTTTTTACTAGGTTACCCTGGGAGAGTTAAACCACATTCACTGCCCTCCTTACCCAGTGGTAGATGGGGTAACTGTCGTTGTTGGAAGTGCAGAAGACGACGATAGCCAGCAGCCACCCACAAATCATTACAACTCCCCACACTGGCATCACGCCTCCGATCTTGACAAAACCATCTGAGGAACATAAAACAAAGATTTGCTGGGGCTGTGTTTCAAGGTTAAACAAGTCATGCAGTAAAAAGTATCACTAAGTTTGCGCTTGCTTTAGAGTGAAGCAAAGTGATGAATTCCTAGGTTTTTAATGAGTCTATCTATAAACAAAAAACATACAAACAGAGAGTGAAATTGCAAACATAGGGATAGATAACTTATACTCACTATTGATGGCAAACACAACAAACAGAGGTCCAGTGATGCAGTGCAGACAGTTGAGCGGGCGGTTCCAGTTGTGATTGTCTTCTTCAAAATCCACAACAGACACTGTCAGGTTCAGAACCAGCTGAATGGGGGCCTGGGTTCAACACAAAATAATAAAATAGTCAACTTAGCACTAGATCTAGAAATCCTGCTCTGCAGAACAGTTGGCATACAGTTTATACTTCTCAACTACACACACTCAGCTGTAGTCTGCTTGACCAGTGCAGGTTAGGTGCAGGTAGACATCAGAGGTACCTACACAGCTCCAATTTTACTTGCACTGATCTGCATATACACCCAGTATCCAGCTCTGTAAACAGGCCTACAATAGCAAGTTGTAAAATGTGACATAAAACAACTACAGATTGACACCGGCAGTGTTGATAAGATGAAACACTTACCTTAAAGACCTCGTAAGCCTTGCCGAACGCCCCCTTGTCTTTCCACCCTGCCGTGTCGATGGGGTTCAGCCCCTCCCACAGTACCCCCCGCAGACCAGCCAGACCTACACTTCCAGGGTCCTCTTCCCTGATACTCCCCAGCAGTGGCATTCTTTCTCCTAAAGGAATGGTAAAAACATTGTCTGTCAGCTGAAATTACTGACAGAAGCACTTTCATCCTGTTTGATTCTCGAAAAAATACTTTTCGCCAAAACTGGCTGTCATGTTCACGGTCATCAATCATGTCACCAGCTAATTACAGTGAATCAAGAGCTGGAAGTATGATTCTTTATGGTTCGATGTTAATACCATCAAAAGGGTGTATGTGTGGTATAAATCATAATGTTTACTGAGTTACACTATTTTTGCTGATGATGAACAGAAAATGTTGTACAATGTATTTTGGTGTCATGTGGACTTTAAAAAGTAAATTATGAATCTAAATTTTTGTCAACAGCTCTGAGATTCTTATTTGGGCTAAGACACGAGACATAACAGGTGTTTAAGCAGTATAAAACATCCACCTGAAGCACTGAAGGAGGCCCTGCTGAGATCCACACTAGTCTGAGGCTGTAAGGACGGGTTGACTCCTGCCTGTCCTCCCAGCAGTGGACCTACTGTCACACCTTCTGTCACCTGTAATGTTCCTGAAATATCCACAAAAATACAGAAATCAACATTTTATCTACCGGTATTTATCAAGACTTGTGACAAATACAGTGGCCACCCAGACAGCCAAGCTGATGTTGGACACCACTCACACCATGTTTAACAAAATATACAAACACATAACATAACATATATAACATGTATACATACAAGTTGACTAACTGGCTTAGTTAATATCACGGCAATGTTTGAATCCAGTATTCAAATTTTCGAAAGGGATGCACACAGCATATGGAAAACGTTCTCAAATTATTCTATTGGACTTTTGGAAGCCAGTGTGATAACCATTAGAACCTGGTGTGATATGGCTAGTTATCACACAGGCCAAACCACCTGTATCGAATGTTATCACAGCCCAGATATGACATAATGATTATTGTATTCCTTACAACTCACCTGCAATAACACCCGCTCTGAAATTCTGTGATTGGATGCTGCCAATGTTATCAACATTTTCTGAATCATCTGGCAATAAACAATTCATTGTGATTGGTCAAATCAGCAATTAATTCACAAATGCACATCAATTAACAACTGATGATTGCATTGATTATTGAGTCTGATTAAGGAAAATATAAACATCAAAACGAGCAGTACAAAATCACAACACAAATTCACAATGAACTTGAAGACAATTATCGGAAGACTTTTATTTCCCCAGCCCATACTAGGCAGTCAATACGTATTTAAATTTCAACAATTGCTGTGATCAAAAGATTCTACATGTGTACTAGTAAGCAAAATGATGAAGCTACAGAAGCATACTATCAAATGTTGGGAGTTTTATTTGGAAAGTTATTTGTACCTTTGACTGCCCTTTTAGGGTGAACATGTTTTCCTGAAGGTTGTCTGAAGGTCAGGTAATCCTCAGGGTCATCCGGCAGGTCTGCCCTGGTCCCGTTTATACTGGTACTCCAGGAAAATATCAAAATGACAAATAAGAAAAGAAAAATGACAAATAACTTATAACTGAAAAGAGGGAAAAGAGGCAGGAAACACATAATAATGTCTTCAATGTTCATAACTTCTAATTCCTATATGAGGCCTTTTTAACTTCGAACAAAAGAGCAACTCAGCTTTCTCTGCACATCTACTACTTACTTGGTGTAGTTGTTGCTAAAGTCTGTTGCCATTGCTGATTGGCTCTGAGATGCCTTGAGTTGTGTTTGCCTTATCTTTCGACCAATGAGGACAACCAATACATATACGACATAGAGACCAATGAAACCTGTGAAAACACAAGCAAACTAAATGATACATACTCGTACTAAAATAGCACATCAAAACAATAATGAAGATATAATGCAACAGTTTTTAAAGTTTTAACTTAATCACAAAATTTTTCAGAAAAACATACTATGAAACAAAATAAGACAACTTTACATATAAAAGGAAAAACTGAAAAAGACTAGAAAACTTGTTAGGCTGCAAGACTAGCTTTGGCTTCCTTTGGAGTCTCTTCTGCGCAGTACATCAGCCTAGCTTCTCCTACAAAACTGAATGTGTGAATAGACCTCATTCCAGATACAGTCGCCATATTGATTCTATTCTCGTGAGAGCACATTCTTGGCGTGAGCGCGCGTAACCTCGCACGAAAGCGAGGCGTCCGTTGGTACAGATTGTCTGTAGTACGTTCTTTACCACGGTCGATAGCAACGCTCCAACTTCAACGGTGAGTTTTGCCCGTCCAGTGTAAAATATTGTCGGAAGTACTGCTTTCACTGGCAGAGGATGTTGTTGTGGGCATGTGGGATCGATTTCGGCGGGTAGAAATGCATGTTTCTTCCGATTTTGAATAGTTTTGGATGGGCCGGCATTGTAGCGTATGTGATGCACTTTGTTTACAGCCTAGCCTCTACCAGGCTTCAGGAAGTGGCTTAGAAAGAGCGGAAACGGGCAGCATACTGTACTCCATAGTGGGCCAACTCCCCTGGCATGTTCTCTGTCTGTCTGGCCAATTTCTGCTCTTTCCAGCCACTTCCGACAGCCTGATAGAGGCTAAATAAAGCCTACCTATTGCCTGGGGTACATTAATGTTCTTGAACCACAGGACGCTCCACGTCCAGAATCCTGCCGCGAGGTAGAACACGACATCTCGCAGGAACGGACGCTGCATCATCTCAAACGGCGTCAGGATTGCCACCGCCCCGACAACAACTGTGGTCACAAACACACCAGCACCTGTGGGATAAACATATAGGAGTGAGTCATATAGGAAGACTTGTCTTTGGATTCATCATTTTTAACCTGTTACAAGTAACGTTACCTGTTGGATCCAACTCTGAAGTATTACCATGTTAAGGTTACTAACAGTTAAAAATATGTTACTAAACATTGGTACCATTTTGTAATGGGGCTCGGATGGTGTGTGGGAAGAAAGACTGTTGTCTATAGAGAGTTCTGCACTTAGGCCACACCAATTTAATTTGTTGGTTCTCGGGTTCGCCTCTTCATTTTTTTCTGATTTGCAAAAAAAAAAAGAAAAAAAAAAAGATTCTGGTTCAACTAAAAAATGCTCATATTTTGCCCCCCCAACAGTTATGAATCCTAGTTGTTGCAGTGTTTCCTTCTATCAATGCAGTGGTTTGATTAAAAGTTCAAAATTCATTGTTTAAATATTAACACAACATTTTGTGTTGACTTCATGGCTCCTATCATAGCATTTGGGGCAATAATAGGATGCCTAGACCTGTTCTTATTTTATTTTTTTCGCCCTGTCGCTTCATGTTTTTTCTGACAAAATCCGAGAACCAACAAATTAAATTGGTGTGGCCTTAGTAGCAGGTACGCCGCAGGGTGGGCGAGGCGAGTAGGTTTTGAGCTGCAATTAATGACCAGCAAGCCAGTATGGTACTTGTAGAAGTTAAGTAGCCGTGCTCTCTTCTGGCGTTAACTACTATGTATAAATCCATAATAAATGAGGGCCTGCAAGCCCTTTTTCGTAAGGCGTAATCAGGCCGTTTTAGACTTCGTAATTCGTAGGCAGCCTCCTCAAAAATCAACGTAATTCGTAATTGGACATTAGCCGCAAATCGTAAAGTCGTAATCAGCTCTGAGACTTTAACGTAATTCGTAATAGGCGGCGAAAATTTTGCGTAATTCGTAATCACTACCCCCCCTTGCAGGCCCTCATAAATACATATGAATATAGATATGTAATTCTTGATGGTATCAATATATATATTGCTAACAAGCAGGGTAGTGATCAGCAGAAGTGGATAGCTGGCATCTTGGCTACTTACCAAACAAGGCTCCAATAGCCAGCCCAGCTTCCCCACCCCTGGAGTTGTTGATGGCGCTCACCGCACTGAAGATGTCAGGAGCTCCATTCCCAAAGGCTAGAATTGTCACGCCTTGAGGCCAGGAGTTAAGGGTCTCTGAACAAACTAAGCTTTTCACTATATATAACATTCACAAGTACCTTGTACCTTAAAAAGATATTTTGTTAACAAATGATGGGCTACACAAGGTCTGTTACAGATTGTAAGGATAAGAAAGTACTGTCATGTACATGTAATATATTCTTATGCTCCTGTCTTTCTTGATACTTGCATACTAAAAAAGCATGTACACTTTCATCAAGGTATCCTTGCTTTTATATAGCAATAGACAACAACACAGCTATGATTCATATACTGTCTACATGCATCTATGCAGGTTTTCCCATGAAGAGGATATAGCGATGTTCTGGCTCAGTTTCAGAGTCTCCGTGATCACCTTCAGGGCTGGACAAAAACTGGGGAAAAAGAAAAAAAAGGAGGAAATCATTTCATTAAAAAAATGTATGCAGTATTTGATGAAGTTTTGTTTCTTATACAAAGATAAATAACAGGACAAAAGGTTCAAATTTCGTATAATTCCATATATACGAATATACGAATAGTAAGTAATGTGTGTTTTGGTGTGTGTGTGTACTCTGTTTTATTGTTGTCTATGCATTTTTTTGTTTTGTTGAATAAAGCTTTGTAAAAAAATAAAAATAAAAAAATGATTAAAAAAAATAACGAAAAAATGAAGAAAGATGAACTTACTAGTCATCAGCTGATACACCCAGGAGTACAAACAGCACCACCAGCCACAGGAACTGTAAGTGCAGAAGGGATGTGAAATAAGAAAAACAGAAGTCAGATTTTTATAAGCAAGCAACATCCTTATTGACAGACAGTGATTGAAACATTGGCTCTTGTTATGCTTGGGGCACATTTTTAGGTTGGTGCCTGGCCAAGCAATTTGGAGCAATGAAAATGATGATACATGTATAAAATACAGCAAAACACACAAAATGTTTAAAAAATAATAATAAGCATACTTTGTGTATATTCATGATATGACTTTTTTTTATTTTTTCATTCATCTATACATGTACTGCCTGGCTGGGTCCCGGTTTGGAAATGTGACCCTAGCTTACAACAGGTGGTTGTGAATAAAGACCTTTGCTATTCAATCAATGTGTCTTGAAAGGGAGAACTCACCAGTATAACCAGGGCCAGTGGAACCAGGTTAGGTAAGGAGCAGTAGGGGAAGTGTAGGTAGTTGATGAAGCCTTCATCTATGTCACAGTCTGATGTGTTCGTGATAAACTCACACTGGAAACTGGAGTTAAACTTGTGGTAGTCACGGCACTGGGAGGAGGAGAAAACAAGTCAGCACATGTATATGAACAAATAAGTCTGACTCAAGCCACTGCCAGGATTTGGAAGCAGCTAGAAAGACTTCAATACAAGAGATTGGCCAAATAGACACTAATAACATGCCAGGGGAGTTGGACTGCTAAAGGAGTACAGTTTGGCGCAAATGTACCTGCTTTGTGGACCGACTCCCCTGACATGTTATCTGTCTATTTGGCCAATTTCTACTCTTTCCAGCCCCTTCAGAGGGTCTGCATGCCCTTTTTCGTTAACCGTTATGGGCTATTTTAATTCACCGTTAATCGTTGCCGGCCCGCTCTAATTCAACGTTAAGCGTTATCAGTATATTCATCGTGAAGCGTTATGGGTCGTTTTAATTCAACGTAAAACGTTATTTGTCATCCTAAATTCAGCGTTAAGCGTTAATGAATAATTCTTCGTTACGCCTAATTTTGCCTTTCAAAGTGCAGGAAAATGCGTCATTGAAGGTTTAAAAATACAAAATTTCCCGGGGGAGAATGCCCCCGGACCCCCCTACATTGCTCGCGCCTTTGGCGCTCGAATCGCGCTTCTGCGCTCGGTCTCTTCGGCTCTAGCCAGTTTTCCCTTTAATTTTCCAAAGTTTGCGGAGAGTTACAGAATTTTTTTAACGAATCCGTCAACCTTGACAGGCAAATTAACAAAAATCTTGAGTAAAATATGAAAACATCAGAAGGGCGGACAAACACTCTCAACACCATGATTTGCCTCTCAAAATGCGGGAAATTGCGTTTTTGAAGGCTTAAAATCCTAAATTTCCCGGGGGAGCATTCCCCCGGACCCCCCTAGATTACGAGCGCCTTCAGCGCCCCCCTCTCAAAATCTATCGGTAAAACTGGGCAGACTGAAAAAATGCAAGCTGGCCGACGTTAACTCGGAGTCTCGGACACCCCGGTATTTGTGGACGCACTCGGGGACCAGGGCAGGTGGGAAACACAGGGAACACATACTAGTATCTTTAATGCATGCTTCATTACATGTAAGGTATACGTAATTTTGTCTGTGATCACCTTTTCTCACAAAGCGAGATACCAAATCCAGTGCAGCTCGAAAAAAAGCCTGTCAATTTACCGTTAAGCGTTGCCGACCGTCCTAAATTTACCATTAAGCGTTATCGGCCCTGCTGAATTTACCGTTAACCGTTGCCAGGACCCCCCCATGCAGACCCTCCCTTCAGAAACCTAGAAGTAGTAGAGGCTATAAAAAGTCTTCAATTATTGAATGACCTTCCAATTTTCGGAACTTGGACCCTAGCTAATTGACAAGCTCAGTGTACTGTCTTTACATCATCCTTGTATTTTTAAGTAAACAAAACATCTCACAAATGTTGCTACTTTGACCACAGCAAATAATTGATTCACTGTCACCTGACTGTTGGGTTCGATAGATTAAATATAGACCTGGGTCAATATTCTCAGTTTTTCAATTCCGCACAGCACGAGATGAAACAAACTAAATTGGGTCTTCAGAGATTCATGAGATGTAATGTCAATGGTAGTACTATAATGATAATTACTGTTTTGAAGGCTTTTCTTGGTTTGCAGTGTATTGTGGCATTTAAATATGCCACCGTGACTTCTTTGAAATTGGCTTTGGCAAATTGGCATGTGGGGACTTGGAGTTCAATATCAAAAGACTCTGATACAAAGGCAGTTGGAGGGGGTGACTGGGTGACATCCTGCTTCCCTGCTGTGCTATAAAGACTGACGACTTGTTTTCCAAACATCTTTGTCTGTCCTTAAACATTATGCTAAGTTCAAAGGTCCCAGGCTTAATTGTATTGCCTTAGCTAAGCTGGACAATGATTGGGGGAGTGTGCCCATAGTATTAAGTCCACTGGGTTGGGGTGGTATATTGAACTGTAAAACTTAAGTTACAGTTTGGGCTATTAAAGGGCTACAGGGATTTAGGGGCTTGAATACAAACAGGAAGTTAATTTCTGTGTTTCAGGTGCAGTGGAGAAGTGTGTTTACAATTAGAACTTCAACTATATAACATTGTAACAACCTCCTTGAAAACTTTACATTTGTCAACTTGGGCTAAAGCAGTAGCATAATATTGTATAATCAAGGGGTCTCTCTGTTGCCTTTTAGAATGCAACAATGGGCCATAACTCGTCATAAAAACTTCCTGTTCCTCACCTCAACGTCTCCTGAGTCCGGTTCTGTTGTGGGAATCAGAGCGGCCACACCGGCCAGTGTCTGTCGCAAAGTTGTGTTCAGAAGCTGTGCTCCCATGTTGACAATGAAGCTTTACCCAGCCGTGAAGTCTTGTCATGACACTCTAAAAACTTAAGCAACACGAAAACTGTCTAAAATGCCGGGAAAACTAGTCACGCCAACTACACACCTACAAGCAGAACTTGACAACCTGAATAAATCACGAGACTAGCCGCAAGCACAGCTGCGGGGTCAAAGTTTACACGGTGTGTTCCGACCCGGAAGTGGGGAACTGCAGTTTTAATATTATCGCTAGAAGTCCTCCATGTTCAAATAACTTTTTACAAGCAGATGTCTGGCTATGGTTTGCTTGTATACCTTTAATATTGTGGTGTTTTGTGTGGTTTAGGTGTTTGGCGTTTCTGTCTATATCACTACACTTGTGGATAATTCAGTAGAGAAAATGTGGACAACAGGACCTAGAGAAACGCACAATATCCTACAAACATACGTGCACAACCGGTGACCTGATATCTGCTTGGACTCGCCTTGGAGATTGCGCAATCCGGTTAGATAAGTTTTGCGCTGACAAAATTAATGACTGTATAACCATTCAGACAACCTAACTCGGCTACCGTGTTGTTACTGGCGGGTTTAACGTTACTATCAGCATTTTTCTTAGTTCCAAGTGATTTGTAATTTGATTTCAAATTTTTGTTTGTTATCGAAACGGGGGACAACATGACTCAATGTGATTTAATATCAGTGTGAGAACGAGCGCCCGGTTAGCTCAGTCGGTAGAGCATCAGACTTTTAAGCGTGACACGCCTGTGTGATGTGATCTGAGGGCCAGGGGTTCAAGTCCCCTATCGGGCGGAAACGTTTTGTTTGCTACATGTTTTATTTGCTAACTTTGATTCCCAAGTCAAAGAAAACATTAAAACTTGTTGTATGGCGAGCTGCTGAGAGCTAACCGTAGAAATCGTTGAAGTCATACATTACTTTCGTTTATATTGATCAATATTACATTGTATTAAAATCTGTGCTACTGTAATCCAGAAATCATATAATCATTTTGTACATTTGTGTGGTGTTTTGAGATTATTTTAAGCATTTCTTTTTAATAGCTATATCACAGTCTATTTTGCCGTACTTTCGTGACTAGGCGAGTCACTCATTGAACATGTACATTCAACGACACACAAACGCCGCAACAAACAAGCCACACCCCCACACATCTGCTTGAATATTACTTAAAAGGGTAGTTAGGTCAGATAACATTTGCATACGGGCAGACAAAGCAAACATACAACGACTTCACGACCGTTCAAACAACCTGACTGGTTGCCCGGGAACCTTACTACATTTTTCAACAGCCTTTCCTATACCCGTGAATCAGTACAAAAAGGCGACTATTATTTTCTATGGGTACTATGGTAGCCTCTACCAGGCTTGAGGAGGCGGCTGGAAAGAGTAGAAATCGGCCAAAATAGAGAGAGATAAGCATACCAAGGGAGTTTGGCCGTTGAGAGAACAGTTCGCAGCCCCATGATCTCTCTATTTTGGCCGATTTCTACTCTTTCCAGCCGCCTCCTCAAGCCTGGTAGAGGCTAGTAATATGGGACAACCTGACTCATACCAACCACGTGCCTCCAGGAGCCCGGTTAGCTCAGTCGGTAGAGCATCAGACTTTTAAGCGAAGATGTGATCTGAGGGCCAGGGGTTCAAGTCCCCTATCGGGCGGTACTCTTTTATCGGCGGCTATTTTGACCGCGACACCCCCGGACAACCGCTACGTGACGTAGATTACAAATCTGCCTCAAAATCAAGTTCATCGTGGTGGACCAAGGGACTGACCAGAGCTTGCGCAATCCTGTAATGCCGGAGATATCCGCAAGGAGGCAACCGTTTCGGTTACTAGTATGTTGGTATGAAACCTTCAAGCAGATGTTTGGAGACAAACGTGTATCTTTTTTTCTAGCTCCCCGTTTCTGTCACAAAATGCCCCCCCTAACATTTGCGGAATGAAGCATTGAAAAAGTTTAGTTGGCAGTTTGTAACAGAAATGGTATATAAGAAAACGTAATGATTTTGGTTTGCCTAGTAGGCTATTTCCAGTGCCCTATGCACCTGTTTTGTACTTACTTAACTGGTTTAGGATCAAGCACAAATGTAACTTTTTTTTGCCTCCGTCGACCCCGAAGCGCATTACTGATTCAGAGATTTACACGTTTTTTTTCCTTACTATTTGTCTGAGCTTTAACAAATGTTTAGGTTAGAGGAAATCTTGCATTGTCTTGCGAGACCGACGTTTCCTGTATTTTCTCGGGTAAGGTGCTAAGAAAATATACATCTTAAAACATTATGGGAAAGCTACTTTTATTTTGTATATGTCTGTTCATCATGTTTTGTTTTGACCTGTACTTAGCCCAGTGTATGTGGCAAAAAAGGTCGTCATTCATTCGTTGTCTTGTGATACCGGCGTTTCCTGTATTTTCGCGGGTAAGGTGCTAAGAAAATATACATCTTAAAAGGCGCCCGCGCTGCTCCGGTGAAGTTTGGTCCCGCACAAGGTCCCCCCGACAAAGACCCCACACGTGCACGCAGGCTACCTTTCCCGACCTGTCCTTTGTAAGCCGCGACCCGCCGTAACTCGAGAACGCGCGGTCGGAAGCAAAATTTGTGACCAGAAGGAATCAGCAAGGAAGTCGACCCCGGAGGTCGAGAGTCTCAGTTTCTCGGCACCTTTGAGGGGCTGTTATATAATTTAAATGGCTCCTATTTTTGGGGAGTAAGTTTTCCACCTACATCGGCTTCATATAGCGACGAGATCGAAGCAGAACTTCAGGCAGAAGCTCTGAGGAAGGTGTCTGATAGACACCGAAACGTCAGCACTCTAGGTGAGATGATTGACAGTTGGTTGTGTAAATGAAAACTCCTGTATCCTATACTTTACCAACCTGGTGAAACTATTTTCGGAAGTAAGTTTTCCACCTAAAGAAAACCTGTCCAGTGCTTGTTGTGGCAAAGAAGACGAAGCTCGTCCTTGTTTGCTTGTTTATCAGAAGAAAGTGCGTGTCTGTCATTTAAAGCGATCTGCGTGCAGGTAATGGAGAAGTTGTAGACAGTTCGGGATGACTGCGGGAACGGAATGCTCGGGAAAAATCAGGGCACGAAACCTTTAGCGGATCGGGTTTATTTACGTCTAGTGTAAGCAAGGGAGATCCAGCTAAAACCTTATCTCAGTGCTAAACAATTCGGGATAAACTTCCAGTTATCTCTGGAGGCACTGGCGAGTGAAGTGGAAGAGCTGCATCAGTACAAGAGAACAAGACAAGACAAGAACGGACAGACGACCGGTAAAGATAAACCATGCATTTTCACTTTTCTTAGCTTCTTCGAATGACGTCAGCTTCTTTCAGTCGGGCATCAAAATCGTCTTGAGATTTTTCAGCATATTATGAACTGCAAGGGAGGCAGATGCTTCTTCGGGCATCGAAAGTTTATTTCGGGATAGAATGTTTGTTTATGCTGAAACTAGCATTTAAAGGGGAGCACGTTTCCGTTTACAGGTCTTGTGTATGTTTACAGGTGGAATGCCGCCGAAAGTGTGAAAACAACATTTCCTCAAATGGGAACATGCAGGTTTCAGGTCTATACTAGTACTTGTCGGAGTTTCTCAGCGCATGGTTTTCATTTTCACTCGTTTCCACAGCAGTACAGGTAAACCACCAGCAGGATTTTTATGTCAATGCCAGAGGACGTGGAGGTCAAGTTTTCGGAACGCACGCTTGCCAATATAGTTTTGCAGTGATTATTCCCACGTGGGGAAAGTGTTACGAGTCGCTGCTATTGGTGTCAAGGAGAAGACATTTTCTCTAGATCTGTAGCAGCTATATAGCGCTACGGCTGACTGTTGATCATTTCTATGCTGAACAGTGAGTATAGTATTTCCCATATTTATAGGTTACCTGTAACGTTAGTCAACTGTAGTGAGAAACCCTGGGCGTCAGTTTAAAACGAGAGGGATCGGATAAAATGTAAGTCGGACAGTTTTCAGTTTTTAGCTTTACGTGATAGAAGTTTGGGGCGAAAGTTTGGTAGTCGGAACTTGGACGAGAACTAATGCATTTGAAGCATGCGCAATCACTCTATACATATGTTCTCAAAGGGAGACGTTCTTAAGGGAGACGTGCTTACCCAAGTACCCGTACCATGACCAAATCTGACAAATATTAGGAAATCCGAATATTGCAAGTCTCTGATTTCTCTCTCTAGCTGTTTGTGTCAAATGCCAACGTCAGAGCGTGTTTTGTGTGAACCTAGACCGTGCTTCTGCCGAAAGTACGTGCTTGAGTCGGCATGCGGGGCCATGTCTCACTCAAGTGTGTGCGTCAGACTTAAAACTCACTTACTTCCGTGACGTACTCGGTAGTATGATCTCGTAACGAAACCAGCGACGCCTGTCCGGTGACTTCAAGTATCCCTTTACCGTGAATTAGTGCCATAATGATATTCATCAATCGAACTAGAGCGGATTAAGCCTTTATCCGACTACTTGAATTAGGCAGACAAATTTTCCAGTTGTCATTTTGTGTAGAAAAAGTTCTCCTTGACATGCGGACGGGTTAAACACATGAACATGGGGAGACATTCCGGAGCCGGCCCCAGGTCAGGAGAAGGTATGACCTGTGACATGTGAGGCCCACATCCTGCAAGCCTACATTCCTGCAGTAGGGCACAACAAGGAGGGACATCGATCCTCGATCTGTGTTTGTCAACTTCCGCACTTCTTCTTACCACGTAGCCTCTACCAGGCTTCTTGGAAAAAGTAGGAATCGGTCAAATAGACAGATGACATGCCAGGGGAGCGCAGACCAACTCCCCGGGCATGGCATACTGTCTATCTGGCCAATTTCTACTCTTTCCAGTCGCTTCCGAAGTCTGGTAGAGGCTACTTACCACAGTCTGCAGATACTAGTAGTCCAAATGTGACGTACGGTTAGACATGTTAGACTTTGACTCCCAATTACTTTAAAGCAAGCTCCCTTGGTTGCGAAGGCGATTTTTTAAGTTTACAAACTGCCCTTTAGGATGTCTATAGCTAGTTGAAGGTTACACTCTCGTGACATTTCTGGACATTGTCTTGCAAGACAGCATGTTATTGACGTTCGTTCAGTGGAACCTAGCTTAGTCTGGGTGTCATCAGACGTTGTTGTGAACGAGCGTTCAGCGAGGATGGTACCCAGACGTGAACTTGGCAGCCAGATCTTGACCAGGTGTAACACATCGTCGGAGAGTTGGCAAAGAATTATGAGTAACTTCCACCTCTTGGAATTAAGGGTCTTAGAGAACAACTTATCTCAGTTAAGTTCTCATTTCCTCCACGTCTTGGGTTGTCCTTCAAGTGGGCAGTGATTGACAAGGAGCTGTCCTAAAACTGGCATTTGCGTGCAGTAGTAGTACGCACCGGTCCGCAGACAGGACACTCCACCTCCAAACTATTTAAATGGACGCCCTGTTTCGCCAGCCGTGGTGATCTCAGCTTTCTTTCACAGTGCTGGAATGCGTCATCACAGTAAATCTTAGAGCTACCGGTTACTTCTAGGTGCTGGGAGTGTATACCTTTTTGGCTCTTCGTCTAAACAGTTGTTTTACAATGGGGACAGGGACATGGCCAGTAAAAAGCAGATGGTGTATTTCAAGGAGACTTCACACGCTGCCAGTGGAGCTTCTCACATTTTAAACTTCTGTTTGGTCAACAACGTACAGTTTATATCAAAGGTCATAAGTTAGTATTGCGCCAGGCTTTCCTACGGAAATACAATCATCATGAGTTCAAGTGCATGAAGGCTTCACATGATACTGAGCCTCGCACCAGCGATGAAATAAAGCAAAGTTAACTACTTTCAAGCAGTACTAGTATAAAAGTTTGTGCCAAACTCATTACCACTTCATCGGAACAGTTGTGATCTGATGTCTACTAGTATACAAAAATTGAGAATTGTTAATCACGAGCTGAGTGACTAAACAGAACAAGTGCCTCTCCAACAATGAAAGGATGTGGCCGCGACACCTTTATCTACACATTGATCAGTGATGCCTAGCGTCGCACACTGACACATAGATCATGTTACAGCTCAAAGCCACAAGTTTAATCTTTAATACGTGTATAAAAAGGCTGTAGGCTCTACCAGGTTTCAGAGGCGGCTGGAAGGAGTAGAAATGTCTCATATCTACCTATTTGGCCAATTTCTACCATTTGCAGACGTGCCCCTGAAGCCTGGTACAGGCCCTGAAGCCTGGTACAGGCTCCGAGGATGTATGACTAGTTGACTATTACGTAGTCTGGGGAAAATGAAGGGGCGAATCAACGTCAGATTGTATGAAAGAAGAAGGAAGCATGTATCGATTCAATTTTCGTTTATATGAAATACAGTGATTATTGAGGGAAATGTCGTTGATTTGTAATAGCTTCCTTCCTAGTGCAAGGTGTAACGTTATGATAGAAACTTTATTCGCAAAATCATGCCCGGGCCGAAGGCTAATTGCTTTTACAATCAAGAATAATACACATTGCAATACAGTAACAGGAGACAGGTAAAACACTTTCAGATGTAAATATGGGAATCGATCGTCGTTCTTTCTAATTCTTAATTTCAATCCATAGCAGTTCCTATGTCCATTTCTTTTATTTCATTCCTTTTATGGCGAGAAAGGGTTAGGGGTGTCCACAGACCAAGTTACATCCTGCACGGAATACTTGAAATAGTTTCTCTCTGCCCCCTCACGACCCGTGACTGTCTATGACGCATACCACTGCTTTTGGGGGGGGGGTATATCTTCTTTTTCCATTTATTTCAGAGAAAAATGGAACAAAATATGAATGTTTCTTGCACATTGTATACTAGAAAGTTTCAGTTTAATACTATACGTATACTATATTATGAACATTCTTTTTACTTGTTTCAAAAAAACTTCTACTATTCATAAACACCCCTTCTTGTTAAATGTGATAGCCCACTGACTCACTTCCGGGATCCTTCCACACAAAACCGTTTGTTTTAGCACAGACGAAAAACCGTTTGTTTTTCCGAACGTTGGACAAACCTGTTTGCGCTGAGTTCCCCCACTAGCTACTGTTCTTACCCGGAGGGGAAACTGTCTGTGTAGAGGGTCTTTGGCATCGTCTGTGAAAGATTCGTGTCCTTTTCTGTTCTTTTATTTGTTAATTTGGCGTGAAATTTGAATTTGTGGCGCGATGGCAACAGAGCATGGCGACCAACTCGTTCTCACCGGGAAAGACGAAGCGACGCTCAGGGAAATGGTAGGTTTATTAATACTTCCAGGTTTTAAATAACGGAAATGTGAAGAAACTGACAATTCATTTACTGTTCTTCATACTTCTAGGAAGTTTTAATTTTTGGGGTTAATTCTTTTTGAGGGGGAGGGGGGTCGTTTCGATGTGGGTGTCCCTTTCAGCAACATTGTTTTCGTAGGGAAGTTTACCGTTACGAACTTACGGATTTTGTTGTATTTCTGGTATCCAGATTTTTACTTCCTTATCAAAGATTATTGAAAAAGTGCAGTTAACTGAAAGATTTAAATGTTTACATAACTGAGAACTTGACGTTTAACCGTTAGTCGTTATTGATTGTTTAACGTGACGTTAACCTTAAGAGCCCTTAGGCACTTTTGTATTTACGTGGGTTTAAATTTGCGATGAGTCAAGGTCATTTGGGGTAAGAAAAAAGCTGTGACTTTTAGTAAGAAGGAAGAAAGTCCTTGAGCTCAAGTTGTGAATAATTTTCTTCAGACATTGTATCTAGGCCAAAGTTGAGGCTAGGGTGAAATGTCTGGACTCTGACGACTGGATTCTTGCAAGGTGCATTTGTGATGTTCTGTAACAATACAAAGCTAGAAGAAATTAAGAGAATGCCAAGACTTTTCCGTTCATTTTACTCCTTCTAATTATGTCATATTTTGTAGACACAGAGTCGTAGATATTTTTTAATTGCAATCCAGGCACTATTGTTGTTGGAAGTTAAAACCGTTGGTATGTGTGTCCTGGATGCCAGGACTGATGCCAGGTTGCCTTTGTAACCTTCATGGAGGCTTGTCTTGAAATGCTGCCAAAAATACCTCTTGCGCAAGGTTTCTAAATTGGGTAGTATATATGGTAACTATTCTCAGTACACCTGATGAACTACTGGCAATCTCCAAGCAAATGTTGGGATGGAAAATTGTGACCACAGTTTCCAGCTGGAAACAAATGGGGCATTTAGAAAACATCACAATTATTAAGGGAAAAGCGACACAGCTGGAAAGCTTTACAAAATGTTAATCTTAAAAATACATGTCAGTTAGAAAACATGACTTGTCCATCCCAACATCTGCTTAAAAGATTATAACATATTGGAGAAATAGCATTATCGCATAGGTGTTACTGCTACAGCACTGGCTACCTGCCAGTCTCAACCACTCACACAGTCTCACATGCACCTCATATTTGAACACTCGAGTGGGTCGACCTCACGGGTAACAGTTCACAGACACAAGTGGAAATGGCCTAGCAGGTTGGCACTTGTCTCTCACCAGGCACCATTTGGACTAAATTTTGGTTGGAAGTCTTCTTCAGTGCTTTGTGCCTCGCAAATGGAGGCTAGGCTTCCATTCTGCGTCCCCCCTTTCTTGTCTTTTTGTGCTTATCTTGGACAAAAGCCTCAGTGTGTACTTAGTCTCACCTGGAGGTTGAAAGTGCTATCTCGGTAATGATGTTGCTGTGACAACACAGATTGCCTGCCGGACTTTCCACTTCAACTACACCTAGAAGCAGTTTGATATACGGTAAGCTGTTGTTTGAAAGTGAAATGTATATGATGGCGGCCAGACCTTTCTGTGAACTTACAAAAAGAACAGTGTGCTATTTTGCATGGAATTGTTGGTTTATCTGATAGAGAAAGGAAGTTTCTTGAATATCTCGTCTAGACATTTGTCATATTACTATGAAAAAGAAATATGATACAAGGGAAATACCAGATCTATTTTTGGACTGTTGTATCCTCATACACTTCCTGTGTAAGCACACACTTTCAGTTTTATGGTGTTTCTCTTTTCATATCTATTTGACACAGATTTCTGGCTTCCCCCTTTTCATGAACTTTTCTAATCATTCCAATAAAAAAGACCAAGACTACAAAATACATAAAATCTAATAATATCAAATGAATACCACACACTCAATCCAGAAGCAAAACAATAATTTGCCAAACTGTATATTGCACAGCAAAGATGACAATATTTTACTTACATGTCAACTTCTTGGGTCTTATTACTGGTAGTCTTAAGATATATTTTTCAAAATAAGGACAAAACCTACTAATAGTTACTTTCATAACTAGAATGGGAAACCAAAAAGAATCTTATAATCAAACACTACCTGTGAATACTATTAAAATTTTGCATTCTTCTGTATAATATTTCTTTTCTTTCTCTTTTCCATATTACTGGTTTAGACTAATTATTCCCTTTACCATATAACTGTACAGCACCATTTTAAAATACATCCGATACGTACACTACTCTGTCACTAGTGATGTTCCAGATATTGAAAAAAAGCCAGCTGGCCTGTTTTTACAGCTCAGCATTCTTGCTTTATGAGTCAACCACAAGACCCCTACTCTTCAGGTGAAGACTGTTTACCTGGTTGAACAATGGTTCTTTGTTCTTTGATGTGGTGTAGTTCTGGGAGTGAAGGTAGATAATTAACATGCCTTATAGGATTAGGAAACGTTTTGCTTGCATAGTTACAAAGACTGGCATCCTTCATCCATCGGTACACCTTCAGAGAAGTCTTCTTACTTTCCATGTGCATGCAGTGTTTTTTGGCACATATTTTCAGCCACTGACAATTATATACCATATACCATCCAACTCTGCATATGCAGATTCCCCAATATTCTGTCGATGCCTTTGAGTCATAAAATCTGACTCAACCATGCCATCATGAGTTCAAACTGCTGAGTTCTCATAATCCTTTTGTCTCCTGTAATACATGTAGCTATATTAAATAAAAAAAATGACAGTCAGCTAGACTGTAAGCTATGACTGTGAGTTCAGTAAACTCTTGATGACTTGACTGCCTTGAGTGGTTTTGCTGTGAGGGTGCATGTACGGATGATTGCACTGCTTTCGTTCATTCCTCCGGGAAAAGCCGAGAGTCTCTCCCACTGGTTCTTCTTGATGTTATAGCTCAGGACCACGCCTCTGTCGCAGAAATTGATGATCTTTCCTCCCATCGCCATGGGAACTCGCTTGACGTTTCTCGACTGGGCCGCTCCGTTCGGCGGGAGCGTTATGCAGTCTGTCCATTCGCCGGATATGACGTTGTACGTGGCGATTTTCTGCTGTCCTACCACATAAACATGGCTGTGGTCCGCGACCAGGTCACCCAGGGGCATCCCCGACAGTTCGAACTTCATGTCGGCCCACTCGGCGTACTTCATGGTCTTCCACTGGTTTGTGTCGGGGTCGTAGCACATCAGACGCCGGTTCTTGTCGTCCCAACACGAGGGGTGAGCCGACAGGTAGATCTGTCCGAGGCAAACCGTGGATGTGGGGTTGACCACGCCGGTCGGGAGGGGGCACGCGAACTCCCAGGTGTTCGTCTCGATGTTGTAACACTCGACACAGTTTACCTTCGGTCTCTGGCAGACCATCCCCCCACTGTCTGCCGCAAACCCACCGATAGCGTACAGGTGTCCATCGAACGCTGTCAAGGCGAAATTGTACCTCGGCATCAACAGAGGGGCGAGTTCAGTCCACGAGTCCGTCTTAGTGTTGAAACAAAAGACTCTCCCCGACGGCTTACTTTCCGTCACCATTTGCGAGTTGAAGGAGCGACCGCCGGCGATGTAGATGCATCCGCCCGTCCCGGCAATCTCGAAATGTTCTGTGGTCCGTAGCTCGTCGGGTAACGTCGTGAGCTGAACCCACGTGTCCTTCTTTAGACTGAAGTAGTACAGACCAGGAGTTTCCGCCCAGGACGTGTTCCCGATGTATTTGCTAGAAACGGCTGCGATTAACTGCTGCGGAAGGTTCTTCAGGTGGTTGAGGTGCTTCTGCGGGAGTTGGTGGAGGATGATGTGGCCGGCCTCGTCCCCACGAGGGTCGATGTGCGTGGCCATGAACTCGTAGACGGTGCTGACGAGGTCGGTCAGGCCGTACGCCTCTGCGATGATGAGCACGTCGCAGCAGTTCTCCATGTCCAGGTGGATGTAGAGGAACTGGGCGCAGGCGTCCAGGAGGGTCTTCACCTGCAGCAGGGGTGGAAATACTTTTTTTTCAGTGTTTTGCAATATCTAGTGTTCTGTAATAATGCAGAATATCGAACTTTGGTTTGCAATTCGGAAATGCTTCCTGAAAATATGCATATATAATTTATATATGCTTCTGTATTGATTGAATTTGTATGTACTTTGTATGTTTATTTCTATTGTAAATATTGAATTGAATTTGTATGTACTAAGTGATATTGTATTTAGTTATACTGTATTTTGTATTTATGCATTTATGTGTCAGTGGTAGCCGCTACCAGCCTTGTTGCTGCCTGGTTGCCACTTGTTATGCACTGTTGCATTTAAATAAACAAACAAACAAACAAACAAACAAACAAACATATAAAATATTATCTGAACATGTACCTATTCCATGTTGGCAAACATATCACATACAATTTGAAAATACATGCAAAATTAGAAGTAAATCAGTAGTGAATCAGCAAGTCAGTAGTGAATACAAAATTTCTTATAGTATACTCGAGTACCATATTATCGTGCTGATATACCATTGAACTCCTAGCATTATGTTTTGAGTTGCCTAATTTTTCGTCTGGGATATTAAAATTGTCTCAGCAAAAATGTAGGCAGCAGGTGAATAATTCCAAACTGACCTGGAGGAAGCTAGCGACAGCGAGCACGTCCTGCACGTTGTCTCTCTTGATGGCGATCTCCGAGGTGTACATGAAGTCCAGGATCCCCCGCAGACCGCCCGCCGTCACTCCCTTCAGGTCGATGGCATCCTGCACACTCTCCCTCATCCCACAGGTGAACATGGTGTGAAAGTACATGCTTCCCGCGGCGAGCACGTTCTTGTGCGCCTTGAAGTTCCGTCGGTGGACGCGGATACAGATGTCGGAGAACTTGCGCTGCCGCCGGTACGTCTGCAGCCTCGCCATGACCATCCTCTGTACATCGTCCTTCACCGCGGAGAGAAGCTCCGGATAAACGTCCACCTCCACCGGAGCGCCCTTCTTCCGGGAGGCGCCACACGTGTTGGCGTGCAAGCACACCGGGATTTGGAGCTTCTCGCATGCGTAGACAAGGTCGGGTACTTGGTGATCCTTGAAGAGCTCGGGTTCGTAAACAAGGGTGTTTAGGGCCTTGTATTCGCTGGTGGTGAGGTCGGGAAGCTCGATAACATCCGGTCTGTCGCTCGCCATCCCAGATTCGATGATGGCCTGCAGGTATTCGCTGCAGGCCGCCAGGACGTTCCGATTTGCCGCGTACCTGAATGAATGAAAGATAGAAACTTTATTCAACTGACAGACTTACATAGCTTGAATTTTTTTGAACTTACAAGCAGCTTTTAAAAGTAATACAAACATTATGGATTATTCACATTAAAATATACTTATCATAAAACATTTCATCCTCTAGAAAGGCATGTACTGGTCAGAATTAGTGAATAATGTATCAGATTCTGTATCTGTATAGCCGGTATAACTGCCCTTCGGCGTAACACACCAGCTTCTGTACATATAGATATAAAATGTACCTCTTCCCCTCGACCACGACGTGCACGTCGCTGAAGCTCTCGTCCTTGAGCAGACAGCTCAGGTTCTGGAAGAGGACCTCGCGATGGTGGCGGTTGATCTGTTTCTTCAGGAGCGGGGCCACGCTGCCGGCTTCACACGTTGCCATGGCGACAAGTGATGATGATGATTCTGTTGTCAGTGGCAACAATGATGCAGATTCTAGGTTATGTTTACGTAGATGGCTGTGTGCTTATGGATTCTTTCTTCTTTGTTTGAAGGTCCTCAAATGGCTTGTTGAGACTCGACCTGTTATTGAAGACAGAGACACAAGGCTCGATCAAGTTACATACATGTATTCTACATGAATCAGGAAGTACTGTACATTATGGCACTGTCTATGGTTCTGCCTATTTATATCTGTACATTTGTTTTGATGCTCTCTATAATTTATAGCTGTCAGTTTTGACGTGTACTGAGTTGGGTAAAGTGTATCTCATGTTTCTCATATGTGCTCCATCAAGCTTTTGTTTGTCCACTTCTACTAAGAAATATAGAGATGACGTACTTCTACCAGTCTAGGGTTTCCTAGCAAAGTCAGAATGTCAGCTGCACAGGACAGATGGTTCATGTACAGCGGGCATGTTGTTGGCCAGGATTCGACTCCGGCATACTTGGTTATGAATAACTTCAATCACAAGCCTTAGCACTCGCCTAACCCCCAACCTCTCATCCCCAGCCGAAACACAGACCTCTGTTGATGTTCACAAGAGAGATTTATTTACTAACCTTCAAGGACAGGTGCAGAGTGGGTGGTTTTTAGAGCAAAGCAGGACGTTTTCCTGGTCGTAGACTGTGTGGCTCCTGGCTTATTTTGCCCTCCATACTGCAAACACAGGTCCTTGTTTAGACGTTGTTCGGTGGTGAGTCGCCTGGCCTTGCCCCTCCAGCCTCTACATGTCCTCTCTGTACGTAGAAATGACAAGAATGTCAGTCAGCTGGGGTGTCCAGGGATCAGGTTTGGGTGGTATGATGCCTATATTTGTCAATACACAGGCTATATACAGAGATTTCCTGGACTTCTGGAGCGTATTTGGTGTGACATATCCAGCCAAGGAAGATGCTAATTACCATTGTAATTACCTACTATATACATACATGTATACTAACTGGAGTGTTTACATCACTGTCAAGAAAACTGATTTTATATTTGTCAATACACCAGCTACAAATCTGGGACTCATAAAGAGTTTTTTAAGTTTATATTACATGTATGACACATCCATTTCCCAAGGATGACAAAAAACGCTGCACAATACTTGGATACATCACACAATATCAGTATATCATATGTACATATGTACATATGACTGTAGGAATCCATGTACATGACAATTTGAAGTTCTTCATCACTAGTACCTGCCAAAAAAGACATTCTGTGCCGTGTCAATTGGCAAGGATAAAAAAGTTTGACCATGGATGCGACTGACTGTTGTCATTGTCACATAAGATGTAGCAATAATGTCCTTGATCATAGTAACAGAGAAATGTTACATAACGTTACCACGACAACTGTTACATCAATTGGTCACAGTGTAGATTTGATCTCAGCTTCCATGTTCCTTCTGAACTTCTCCATCGAAACATCAACATGTTAGGGATCGGTCTCTATAGCAACTGATCTTCAATGTCATTGTTACCTGTCAGGGAGTCACAACTGTTCCTAATTAAGATTCCAGGCCTCCAATTTCCTTGGCGTTGACACAATTCCAAGTATGTCTCAGGCACGTCAGCCAAGGAATGCCAACCCAACTGCTTGGAATCTTATTTGCACCTGCCTGAGTTAATTTACCTGCCTCTTGAATTGTTTTCTTACGATGTTTGGTCACAAGAAATTTCCACTACATAGAGGAGTAGTAAAGATAACAGTTTAATGATGTGTATTCCCTGTGGAATTTACTGTCAGGAGTTTGAAGTCTGTACAGTGTTGGATTTGTAGTTGTGGACTGTCCGCTGAGACCTGGAATTGGAGACAGCTTGCTAAGTCAACTCTCTTGTTGACCCTTGACTCAAGCAAGTATTTAGGAAGCAAATCTAAGAAAACCGCCTTCTCTCTCTTCTTTCCTCCTCCAGCTGGAATCTTGCACTGATCTCTCGGAGCGGAAGAAGATTCGAGCGGCGATTCGAGAGGTCATTTGCCGCGAGGATGTGAGCACGGCGAGACCAGCGTCCAAGAGGCATGAGAAGAGCAAGTGGCCGTCTGACAAGGAAGCTAAGGAAAATAGAGCCCCGGTGATCAGCAGAACTTCTCGACCCATTCACAACGTAGGTAGAAGTGGAGGTAGAGCCAAGATGGATACCAGAGAGAAACAAGAGGCCGGCACGGAAACTCATGTCAATGGGGATGGTGCTGGACACTCCACCAAGGCACTAGAAGACATTGACAACGAAGAGGAACTTCTTCAAATGGTAAGGCAATTTAAGGTTGTTCTAAGAAGTATCATCCATACTTGTGGAGGATTCTTGAAGGATGTAGCTCTGGGAGCAAAATCCTGGCTGTATCTTTTTGCTGGTATATGTCCGACTGTCTTAGCAGTTAACATTGACACTTTCTCATAGAAGTTTACTTACAAGTCTTGTTCTTGAGCAGCTTTACACTACTACTAGTGCAGAGCAGAATTTAGTATCTATTGACATGTTTGCAATCGCTAGATTTAAGAATAACACTTTAATTGGAGCATGGGGGTGTGAAAGTAAACGGAGGTTGAGTTTACGCTCTCAAATATCCGACCAGTTGCCAAATAGGACATACTGTAGGAGGCACTAGCTTTATTGAGATCAGCCTCTGAAGAATCTTGTTAAGAAAATCAAAATAGCTGTTATTAATAATTATAATTGATAACATTAATTTTTTTAAAGTCAGGAATTTGAGAGAACTTTTATGGCCTTGTACTATTAATTAAGTCTTTATTGCATACTGTAGTTTTAATACTTCTTGATGATGCGCTTATTATAATATGAGCCATGGCAGGGTGGCTGTTTACACTAAAGACTTCCTGCTTCAGAGTTTTTTCATATTAGTTACTATATTGTATACCAGCTGTGCACGGCCAGCTTGAGATCCAGACTTGTTTGGTTATACTCTGCAGGGAGTGACTGTTGGAGCTAAACATTTTAGACAGGATGTCAGGCTAAGAAAATAAAGGTCAAATTCAAAGAACCCTTGGTGATGACCAAGGAATTAGCATTTAACACTTACCTAGAGGATTATTGAACAATTGAACTGTTTCTAAAACAAAGACCCAAGACATTTTTGACAGGGTCACTACTAAGAACCTACCTTTTTACACCCAAAACACTGAGGCACCCGTAACTTTCTTTGGTCTGAAACTGGGAGGAGCATTTCTGCTTGTCCTTGGGAAGCATAATCTGCTTATCCCAGCATCCCTTGGTCCCCAGGGAGAGACCTGTTAGCTTTGATCTGACCTGAAGGATTTCCAAGCTGTTGACCTGTGTTTTACTGAGACTGACCCAGGGATAAACCATTAACGCTAGGAAGCAATGATAACCTCCAGCATGTATGGTACCAAAAAAAGTGGGCGTCTTACTGTAAATCATGATTTTTTTTACAGTACTTTTATGTTCACAGTTTTCATGGTCACTTCTGTACCATAAACTTATCATCACCATTAACAAACTATCTTTTTTCTGTACTTGCCGCCACCATGACTGTTTGGATCTCTCTCTATACTAAGATATATAGAAGCTAAGATACCAAACGACCACTAGACCTCAAATATTACACATATACTAATATAGTTCCACGAACACCTCTACTTTTCTCAGACAGTGAATTTTGCTCCCATGAACATAAACATAGTGAATTACACAGTTATCTCACATTTCAAGTCTAAGCATCTAATGGGGATAGATAAATGAACCACCCCTGGACCAACAGTTTCTCCTCACAGCTCCACCTGGAAGCAATAGGACGTGACCCCATCATGTAGTGGTTTAATTGAGATCAGACCTCACACCTCGCTAAGCCACTTTCTAAAGATCAGTGTCTTCTTTACACCTCTCTCCTGTCAGCTAAGGGATACTACTGACTACAGGCAGAGGAAAGAGATCCGTCTGGCCATCAGAGCGCTCAAGAGGCAGTCTGAGGGTAAGTACAGGTCCAGCCTAGACTGGGGGAGGTCTTGTTTTGTCTAAATCTGTAGTAGATGCACAGAATGGTCAGTCCATACCTGAGGAATGCATGAAATCGTGGGGAGCGGCGATTTATCAAAAGGGCATGTGGTTACTTTTTGTTCAACTTTTAGATTATGGTATGGATACTTTCTCAAATGATATACATGTATTTGTAATTGCATTGTTCAGTGTAATTTCTAGCTGCCTGATTAAACTTGGGCAGGTATTGAACCAGAGTTGTGTGAACTCTCAGGAAGAAAAATCACTGTGCTGTCAAAGCCTCATAAATTTTGCTTTGACAAAAATCAAGAGCAGCTGGCACTAGGGCAGGCACCCTACAAGTTTTATGTGGTTTCCTAAACTGGGAGATATGATTAAAATAACAGGCCTATTACTAATGTGAAAGTAAATTTCCTCTGTGCTTTCAAGTCCAGTGGTTGTATTTGTTTGAAAATCCATGGTTGGTCCTTACATCTGGAAAACAGGTTGTTGGAACTCAGACTTGTTTGCTTATGCACAGGTCCTTCAGTTTGTAAAGTGAACCAGAAGTGGGACAAATGCTCGGACTTGGAGTAAATGTTTTGGAATGAGTAGAAAAGATTTAAATTGTACTAACATCAATTACCATCACATTTTTCTTGATACATGCTAATCATTTTGCAGTCTTTTAGGTGAGTATCATTACTTGTCAGTATCTGATATGAAACTGATCTGAAACTATGTAAATTGTAACTTGATAACTTTAAATAACAGATACTTGAGACATCTTAGAAAAATGATTTCATCAGGTCATAACATATTGCACAAGACTGAACAGTTCAGTTTTATTGGTTGTAGGTGAAACTGAAGAAGTAGAGAAGTCCCGTGCTCGCAGACCAAGCGGTGGAAGAAGGACGAGTACCGATCGCTCGCATCCTTCTGGAACTGTTACCGGATTGGCCGCCAGGAAAGGTAGCACGAGCGGGAGCCGACAGCAGGGCAGGAGGAACAGCGGCCATCTTGTGGCCTGTAGGAGCGGAGACCGAGGGGAGGCAGAGGGGAGGAGGACACCAGGAACTAACAACAGCTCGCACAAGGTTGGTTTGAACTAGAGCAAGTTGGCAGCCTGCTAGTCTCTGCAAGGCTCCAGTGGGTTCACAAAAAAATAGTAGAATGGACTGAATAATATGCTAGAGGAGTTAGTCAGACATAGAAGTACACTTTGTAACCCACGTGGCTACGATGTAATTCCTTATAATTAGCCTGGATGCCAGACCCATAGCACACTTAGTGACTATGCCCAAAGTTTTCCAGTGTGTAGGGTTATTGTTATCCCTGCCCACTGCATAACTTTGGGCCTAGTGTGCTATGGGTCTGACATCGAGGCTAATAATTCCTCTGCCATATATGTATTAAGATAAACTCTATTTGTCCAGTTTTTACTATTTTCCATTAAACCATTGGAATCTTGTACAGACTTGTAGCTTGCAGCTCAGATGTCAAATAAAATACATGTCTGTTTATGTACATACAAGTCAGATTCAAAGTCTGATAGTGTCCATCTATTTAGTGTAGAGGTTTTGAGTGGAGATTCAAAATCACATTGTGTGCCAAAATCAAGTTTAAACTCAATATAAAATCAATGTCTTTTCCATCCTGTATTCTATTTTAGGTTCTTGAAAGGAAGAAGAGTCAGGAGAAGCCGAGTTCGAGAAAAAACAGCGAAGACGGCGGTGAGAGCTCTCGTCTGCCTGCCAGTCCCACACAGAGGAGCAGGAGGAAGTCCAGTTCCTCCAGCGAGACCTCGAGACTCGGGAGACATCCCTCGATAGAAATAGAAGACATTCAAGATGAAGCTGTTCTACTCAAAATGGTGAGGGTCTGAGGGATAATGTACGATGTTTGTTACACTGTTCTTTTCCTGGGCTGTGTCATCATTCTCCTTTTTCCACGATTGCTTATCACAACTACAACTAGTCTAGAATCATAGGAGGCGGGCTTCACCGGCTTCCCATACTGCTTTGCAACCTTTTAAGTCCTCCAGATTAATCTCCAAGCAGATCCTATGGTGGCAAGACAGTATCAGTATCAAAGATGGCTAATGGACACTCCTCTGCCCAATGGATACTGTCTTGCCACTGTAGCATCAGCTTGGAGAATACTCCAGAAACATTTGTATGTATATTGGGAATCGCAAAGGCCAATGCCAATTAAAAGCCTAGTATTACATGGTGTGGAGTAAGCTGACCAACACACAGACATACAAGCCAAAAACAATATACTTCACTCCCTTGGAATGGAGTAAAAGGTGGGACCATATATAGAATATGTGACACTCAACAGAAGTCCCATGTTTGTAATTAATTGTAAGCGAACCTTGAGCAGTGTGGGTGACTTTGGTGGCAAGACAGTGGCTTACAAATTAAGGGTAACCCAACATGACCTGACACATAGTTGTCTCCAGTAAGGCGTAGATGTGATACATCTGGGATTGGGGCAGGCAAGTTGATAGTGATACTTGCAATCATTGGTGCCTGAGGCCTAGGAAAAAAAATGTTGTGTTTCCGGTTACCCGACCGACCCTATGAAAAACCCCCCGACCCTAGCCTTTTTTGGGCCGACCAAAAATTTCGAGCGGCTAGCGGTCGGTGAGAGCCCGGGTTTTGTGTACATTCGTATACAAACAGGGGTCTCCCCAAGCAATGAAACAAGGGCGCTGCGCCTCTCATAAAATTTTCAGCGCCTCTCATAAAGTTTTCAAATGTAGGGTCTTCTCTTCGTACTTTTGCTTGTGTTAGCTTGGCTAATTCATGAAATTTTTGCTGATTTGGGGGCCAAGCGGCGTCACTATGCCCATCGGTATTGTCTGACAAAAGTTGTGAAAAGGCGCTATTTGAATAACAATAGTCCACTTTGCTACACAAAATCAATGTGTTTGGTAAAATGTTGACACCCTGCTGGCATTTGAAAATCCTATTTTCATGTAAACAACGCTAATTTCTCCATGAAATACAGCCCAAACAGTCAGAGAATAGATTTTAGGGGCTAGTATATGGCGATTTTAACGTGGAAAATCCCCTTTCAAAATTCGGCAACATGGAAGAAAAATAACTCACGAAAATCTTCCCTTCAAATGAGGAATCAGTGCTCCAACAAATTAAACATAGAGAGAAGAACATTTTTTCTTTGTTGTGACCTTGTATTCAATCCATTTTTACGAGTTTTGGACACGTTTTCGTGGCCTTGAACATAGAAATGTGTAGCGCTCGGCACGAGGTCGGCCATCTTGTTTTCTGTTGTTTTCTTAAAATCTCCCGATATCTCGCGAGATTCCGTGAGACTTGGGCAAAAACACTGCAGTTTTGACCAAAACCGCTAGATGGCTAGGGTAGAATTACAGGTTTGCAGTAGCAAAACCTGTACTATTTCTGTTTCTGTCTAGGTGCAAATTTTAACTTTGATTTTTTGAACATCGTGTGGTGGTGTTATTTTTAATGCTAAATTAGAAATTCTAGGAAGCACTTTATTTTTAGTTTCCTTTTAGAAATATGTTTTTCAATTTCCAATTTTTTTGAGTTTTATTTCATTTTAGAAATGAAGATTAGAATTATTAATAGCTTTGTAGACATACTAGTGATATTTTTTCAGTGTTTTCATGTATTTTTGTTTAGATTAAAAATTGAAAAAAATCTTTATAGTTTTGCCCTGACAAACTGCATTGTTATATTGACATGGATTTAAAAAAAAAAAAAAAAAAGGGAATCCCTACCTACCGACCCTAATTTTTTCTGGACTGTAATAGGAAACACAACATTTATTTTGTTAGGCCTGAGGGTTAGACCATCAAGAATTCTAGGGGTGCATAACTGAATGATAGAATAATTTGCTCCAGGAAAGAGTAAATTGAGAATTGTGTTTACCCAAAAGTTAAACCAAGAAATTGTACAGAAAAGAAAGAAATGTGTCCTTTACTTTATTTTACACATGTATACTGTCATCTTGAAAAAAATCTTCACCTAACACCCCCTACAATCCTCTGTGGTCTGTTCGAAAGTTCAGGATAAGCAGTTTGATACAGGTGTTTAATGTCATCTTCTAGTAGTAGGAGGGTCCTTGTTTGGAGAATACATTTCTCAAATGGGGGATTACATTAACTTTGTATGCAAGTTTTCCCTTTCAAAACTTCCATGTGTTGAGTATTCAAAACTGCTTACGTATTGGGGTAGTGCTAAAGTATTCATCAAAGAAAGTCCATGCTCCTGTAAATACAGGTACTTGTGTCATTCCCCGCCCATTACGACTTAATAATGATCGTTCCCTCCTACCCCATTACCACCATTAGCCACTAATTATGGTCCTCCCCTCCCACTCAAGAAGGGTGGACTCCCTTCTAACTAAAGGCCACTAACTTCATTATTGGTGTGGTAAGTACAGGGAGGGGGCTGTTGAACGGACAGGAGTCATTCCTTTGAGTCAATCGGTTTCAACGATCTTCCGCAGGTAAAGGAGACGGGCGATGTAGAAGAGAAGCGAAGACTGCGAGCGAGAATCAGAGCCGTTCGGAGACTGAGTCGCGACAGAAAAGACCTTGTAGCAGCCGAAGGTAAAGAAAGAGACTTGCCCCATCTACGTAAATGTAGTTTGTAGGACCCTGTGGCTACATTTGTGCACCGAACTGTGAAGACAGGACGGTGTTTGTCCATGATAAATAAGTTGTTTGTTTGTTGAAGACTTGTTCTGTCACTTTTGTGTCATGGTATATTTTATCAGTAGAGATAGAGGAAACTTAAAAGTAAGTTTATCAAAACCTTAACTCTTAACTTATGTAACAAAGAAGCAAAAGACTGCATGCATGGTGTTGGGAGGTAAAGACCAAATGTACTGGGTGTGAACTTAATGTACTTGTCTAGATATAGCTACACGGTGAATCATCATGAATTCAGGTGGTATGTGTCAAAGATATGGTAGTCAGACAGGTTTACTTGTGTCTTTGCTGTTTTAAAGTAAGGCTGTGTTTTTAGTCACAACAACAACTGACGGTTGATTTACTTTATCTAACGTTTGGTAGATATATTTAAAGTATGTAGGTCAACTTTGGAGGTCATGTTCAATGTGTATTTACCAACTGTATCATGATATGGTAAATGATTTATTGAAAGGTAAAAGCTACAGCAACATGTAACAGTAAACCTTTGAAATTAAATCCCGGAGTTTTAGAGATGTCAGACACTGATATCATTAGCCTATTTCTCAGACAAACACTTGCTAATACCTGTTTATATAACCTGATTTACTGATAGTGCAATCTGTTTACTAGTAGAGAGACTGTAACTATCTCAGTGTAGCTTTCAGTACAGTTGTTCCTATATCAAACCGGCCTTTGGGAGTCTTGACAAGATTTGTAAGGGAACACAGCTTGTTTTATGGGTACAGAATGTTACAAGGTCAGAGCAAGGTCAAACATAAAAAAGAACATGTCCTAATTTCTAAGCAGTTTATAAGCTAAAACATTCAAACAGGCAACGTAGGTTGCTAGTAGACCTACATTTTTCTAGGACACTAGTGGCCTTGTATCTCAATTGTATAGTATTACTGGCTTTATAGGTAGATGTATAAGACTGTCATTTCCAAATACATGTATATTGTCATTAAACCCTGTATTAACCTGTTTTAGCCCAAGGTGAGAAGTCGACTGCTGAGGGAGAGGGTGATTTACCACAAGCCAAGGAGGAACCAGAGAACCCAGTTGCCACGGAAACCATGGAATGTGCACAGGAAGTTCCAGACGTTCACCCTAACGGTCTGACCAATGGGGACTCTGATACGTCTTCCGCCAAAGTTGAGGAAGTTCAAGACAGTGGTGAGGACGACCTGTCTTCTAAGACAGAAGAAGACCTTCAGTACATGGTATGTCTACTTCTGGTAGATATCAAACTACAACCAGTCAGCGAACTTTTAGGTTTCCTTATACAATGTACAATCGTCTACCTTAGCAAGTTAGTACATGTACCTAGTGCATGTAGTACATGTACTAGTAGATAATGTTACAAAAAGTTCTTTGTCTGAAGAATTTTCTCAGCAACAAACATGTTTAGACAGCTGCCCTACATGTATGATAGAGTCCTCAGACCGGCCTACTTAATGTATCAGTAGCCTGTGGCAATTCTGTTGTGTTATGATAGTTTGCCATCTGTATCACACTACATGTATCTATATATCCCTACATGTATCTATATATCCCTTTGTTTTCACTAGCTCCTGGTGTGTACTGATTATGACGAGAGGAAAAAGATCCGACAAGCCTTACGAGCTGCAAAGAAAAATGGTGAGTTCAGTTTTATGTACATTTTATGTACGTCGTATCTTTATGTGGTGTCTGCCAGAGCGGTGGTGCTGAATATCAATAAAGTCACTCAACTTGTGCGTGTAATTGGTGTGAAGAATCAGTGACCCATACAGATTTGCTAACAGCTATTACACAAACACTAAAAGATCATTGTTATGGAGTGACTTCAACTTACATATATTTGATTTCTGTTAATTTTCTAGTCTCTGTATTATTCAAAATCTCAGGAATCAACATAGAAGGCCATAATTTGTTATTTTGTAGTTAAAAAAAGATATACTGAACTGCAATTTCAGCATAAAAACAGCGCCCAAGGGGAAGTTTCAACCTTGATACACACAGTTTCAGGAAGTGAATGTATTGCAGAATGATGCAAAATTACGTCACTGGCCCCTTTTTTCTTGATGTCCTCTTATAAATGTTGGAGAACAAATTGATATGGCAAGTACATTCTGTGGCGCAATAATATACATTGTACTAGTACTCAGAGCTGTACAGTATATGGATATCAAGAAAAAAGGGGGCCTGTGACGTAACTTTGCATCATTCTGCAATACATTCACCTTAAAAGGCTGTTACCCTGTAAATTCAATTCAATTCTTTATTCTTATAAGTATTTGTATATCAGCATAGCAGACATACACATAAAGCCAGGATGGCGTTGGTATTAGTTGGTATTGTTGCAGTCGGTAGGTGTAAGAACCCCATAAATCTCTGTGAAGTGTACTCACTTGCTCTCTACTGTAAGCAATTTGGTTTAAATCTGCTAGGTGGCAGTAGTATGTCTATAAAACCTACAGTTTCTGCAGACATACACATCTGATCGTGATTTGGTTGCCACAGGATGTTCGCAAATTGGCACACATATTTTTCAAAGAAGTGTAATCTTTGGCAAGCCTCCTTGAAACCCTTTAATAGTCGTCTGGGTTGTAGCTTATCTTGATAAATTCTGTCTGGTGAAGTTGTTCAGTACAACTACTAAAAGCCATTGCTGTAAATACATCAAGTGGATCAGCAACTGAAATTTATACCCTATAGACCAAGCAAATGGCCAATCGAAATTGAAAACTCCAACAGACGCCTGCCTTAATCGTACTCACAAGTTGATATATTTTTAGAGGTGATTTACATTGTAGCTCTATCAAGTACATTTGTAGCTATAAACTTATCTTTCTGAGAGGGCAAGAATGTTAATGCGCTTCATGTAACATGTCAAATGTGTGTGATTATGTCTTTAAAAACGTTTAAGAAATGTATGCAGGAGCCAAGTTTAAGTCCATCGTAGATAATGCTCAGAGCTAGACAGCTCCTACTAAGTGTCTGACACAGGCTATTTGAGCGGACAGCCTGTCAGGACTAATGTGTGCTTGTTTTCTCATTAGGGCAACCCACAGGGTCAGCTGCCAAACAAGCCACCGCAGCAGGAAGCGTTCAAGATAGCCACAAGCCTTCAACGTCTCTGGGGAGGGCAAAAACCAGTGAGAGGATCGGCAAGCTGACTGAAGCCGCCGCCGGGAAAATGGAAAATGGGACGACGGCTAAGAAAAGTGAATCTTACAGGAGAGACATGAAGAAAATTTCGGAGGGTAAGGTGGCAAGCCTTGGGAACAAGTGGGAAGCCTTTGTTGACAAGTCTAACCCATTTGGACGAAGAAACAGTAACAGCATAGAGACTGATGATAAGGGAAAAGGCACTGTGCCTTCTGCTAAAGAAAGAGGTGCTTCTGCTTCAAAAACTGTCCAAAATGGGAAGTCGGAAAGGTCAGAAAAGCCAGCAGAAAAGGGGAACGACGAAAAGTTGACGAAATTGAGTGCTGAGAAAGAAAAGTCAAATGATGAAAAGGTCTCTGTTGAAGAGAAGAAAAAAGCAGTGAAAAAGAATGCTGGCAATGTGACACCTGTCAAGGAGTCAAAATTTTCTTTCAAGTTGAAGTCAGAAAAGGAGCCAGAAGAGGAAGAGAACAGTCAAGAACTTCAGAAATCAAATGTTGAGAAGGAGAAGCCACAAGACGATCAGACCTCCCTTGAAAAGAAGAAACAGGGTGTGAAAAAGAATGCCGGTAATGTTACACCTGTGAAAGAGTCAACGTTTTCTATAAAGTTGAAGACAGAAAAGTCAGCAGAGGATGAGGGCAGCCAGAAGTCAAATGCTGAGAAGGAAAAGCCACAAGATGACCAAGTCTCCCATGAAAAGAAGAAACAAGGTGTGAAAAAGAATGTTAGCAAAGTGACACCTGTCAAAGAGTCGACGTTGTCTGTAAAGTTAAAGTCAGCAGGAAAAACGGAAGAAAAGAAAACCAGCCAACAGCCTGAGAAAGACAAGTCTGAAGATGACAACACATCTGCCAAAGAGAAGAAGCAACCCGTAAAAGCAAATGCCGCCAGTTTGACAACCAAGGAATCAAACTTGTCAGTAAGCCTGTCAAAGAAGGGAAAAAGTTGGGAGGGCTTGCTAAAAGACAAACCTAAACGTCATCGAGTGTTTAGATTGGATGGACAGGAAGATAAAGACTCTGTTCAAGAAGAAGAGGACACAGAGGCTCCCTCTATCAGTGAAGAGGAAACTGCACCTGTAGAACCCCCTGTCAGCACGAGGTACAGTGCAAAGAAAAATGTTGATGATGAGAAGAGTGACGAAGAGGAAAAACCAGCATCTTCTGGAAACAAGTGGGACAAAATGTTCTTTGGAAAGTCAAAGGTCAGAAAGATCAAGATCAATGAGGACACTCTGAATGGCTTACCCAGGGCAAGGGTCAAAAGTGAGGATAGTGAGGCTGACAAGGATGACTTGATGGCAACAGCAGACCAGGAGGCTTCAGGTGATACAGAGGAAGAGAAAGATGTGAGGGATGATGCAGAGGAGGATGGAGAAGTAATTGCAAATGGAGAGCCGCTTACTGGTGCAGGACTATTGGCAGACACGGAGTCAGCTGGTGACGATGCTGATTCAGAGAAAAACTTTGACACTAAGGAGTACACAGAGGAACTGTCTGACACGGAAGCAGACCTTGACTTACTGGTGGAAACAGACACCGAAAGTGGCTCTGCCGCAGAGGACAACATATCATCAATGACTGCAGATGCAGTCTCAGAAGTACAGGAGGACAATAAATCTCCACCCTGTGTAAATACCACCCCATCGCATACTTCGGAAACAGGCACAACCATAAGCGGCGTAAACAGAGATAAGAAAACAAACCAAGCCGGCGACCGGATTATACAGGATGCAGAAGTGGAGGAAGAATCTAGTGAACAAGACATGGAGTCCGTTATGATCCTAGACGATGAGGAACTTGCTGACATCGAGGAAGAAGTCGGAGAAGATCAAACGACAGAATCCGAAAGCAAAGAAGATGACGAGGCAGTGGAAGAAGGTGACCAACAAGAAGACCTTAAGGATGAAGTTACGCCTCAAGAGACTCCAGAGGAATCTCAAGACGGTCCTGTAAGCTCCTCCGCAGCTGAAGCTGAAGAAGATCGTAGTGAAGAGACAACTTGTGGTGAAGACAGCAAGGCTGAAGTGTCCCCAGAAGAGGCCAACAGTAGTAAGCCATCCCAGTCTATCTCTGCTAGCCTTCTCATGTTCTCAGAACATGCAGCCTTGTAGTTTTGTTTGTTGGCCACAGCGTGAGAAATCTTTGCAAGGCTAGTTATCGTCCTAAATGTATGGAATCCCAAGAAGGCCGGTCATTAACGTCACTGCTCCCTGCCCTGTTTGCCTGCACATATAAACTGTAGAATGACGTACAGCAGTTGTCCTCAGAGACTATCTAAGGCAGCTGACTTCTCTGTTGTGCGATGCCACATCTAAAAGCTTTAATCCATTTAATCTATATGTCCCAAGGCTGAAGTTTTATCAGACCAGATTTTCGTCATCAGAATGTTTTTTATGACCAAATTGAGTTTTCCCAATTGTAGTTTTTCTCATGCGTCACAACAACACAAGGCTTTTAGCTTGATAGCTGTATCTAGTTGGCACTCCATGTAAGGCCCCACTTATCTTGTGTTAGTGCCACTCTGACAGTGTTTATTTATACATCTTGTAGTTCTTATGTGTTCTTACATTACTTAACACTGAAAAAAAACTAAGCAAATCTGAATTTTTTTCAGCTTCTGAGGCAACAGCAGAAGTTGACAGCTCCAGTACAAAAGAAGAGGTAAGATTCATTTACCAATGAAAAATCATTCTCAAAGTCATTGTTTTCTAGGATTTAGAAAACAGAACATGTAAAGCATGTAATACAATTGTTTCACATAGTACACAAAGTTAGTATATATCCAGTCTTTTGTATGGATTAGAGTTACAGTGTATGAGACTTTGGGCTTATCGTGAGATCTTTTTTGGTTTAGCTATTGAGGACGATTTATTTGTGTTTACGTATACCTCGGCTACTTTTATGGCTTGATAAGGATAATGGGCTCTAATCACCATTTAAGATCCATCCAGTTGTTTGTCAAAGATGTAGCACACACAAAAAGTTTACACTGCCTATATCAACTTTCAAATGGACAGGAAGACTTGTCCACGAAAGAGACACATTCTGTTGTACCTGTAGTCTCATGGTAGCTATGATGTTTAAAGTACAAAGTGTAAACTTTAGAAAATGTTATTCCTTGACTTTAGCCATTCTTGGAAATGCTGATCGTAGGAGCTGTCCTGTTTGAATTGGGTTTCCCCTCGTAACCATCCTAAAATTACATGCTAATCTTGGAACGGACGTTACACGCTGCGAATACAAATAAGAGTTCATCATCGATACTTGTTGAGCCTTTTCACAAGTACATGTAGGTCTATTTTGTGTCGGGCAGGGGTCCAAGTAGACGTGAACAGAATTCTATTAGACCAGGCTGACCTTTTATGGTGTGGACTTCTCTACTCTCAATGTCTTCTTTATAAATACATACAAGGTCTTACTGCAATTAGTACATTCATAGAAAGTGTGTTGTCTCCCTAACTTAGGAACTTACATCGTGTCTAACTTTTATTTTTAATACATAAGATGTCTTTTGAGAAAAATTATGGTTATTTACAAACAGTTCAAGTCTTAAACTTTGCGTACTTCATTTGTAATGATACTTTACAGATTAATTACAATTCACTACATGTACATGTCACATGATACCACAGACTATACCTCAAGGTTCTTTGTTGTGGTGGAATCTTCAGAGCCACACAAAAGCAAAGCATGGTCATCAATTATTGATAGTTCTCTAAAGTCCTTCAAATTTAAATTTTTCAACTTCAGAATTTTGTTCCACCATTCTCTTCCAAAGTCATTGTTGTTGTCCTGTTGCTATTTTTAAGCAAGGAACAAATGTCAAATCATGATCTGCCCTGGAGTATAAAATCTTCTTGGTTTGTACTTAGTCTGCTGCTTCTGCAGAAAAATGCAGCCTACCATGTACAGGTTGTGTGAGAAGTCAGGTACATAAGGAGGAAATTAAAGGAGAAGACTTACCCTTGTGGCAGAGGTTTTAGAGCATGTTGATTGGTGTTACGGTGGCCCCTAATGCTACACCCTATAGGGCGTCCTGCGCTCAACCTATACGTGGTATGTGTGGGCTCCAAAGGGTGTTTGAGTATACGAATGTGTTCGGCCATCGGCGATCCAACCCACGGTCAGGCTGGAACTTTGGGTGATTCAGAAATACACTGTGTGGCATTACATTAATGTCATGCTCACCCTAGAAAAAACACATTTCAATGCAAAATATGTCAAAATTGCCAAAATTTGGTGTCCCAAAACAAATGATCGTGACAACATCAATTCAATTAATGTTTGAACCCAGGGCACGCAAAACGCGTTTGAATCATTGTATGGAAATTTCGGAATCCTGTGTGATAACCATTAGAAGGGGTTTCGTCGGAACATCCCTTACACGGCTATGCAGAGATCTCTCCATCGGCCAAAAGCAGCTGGTAAAACAGATGGCAGAAGAGGTGGAAAGATGTAGTTTTTGGCTTTGGCTGAGAAGGAAGGACTGCCACTGGAAAACCAAGGAGTAGTAGTCAAGATGGCGTTGCAGAGAAGCAGAGTGGAGACGTCCGCCCTGCTGTCCCCCCACCTGGAAGCCGTATCAGATTAGGGGACGAAACGGCTGATGAGAGGTGGTTCTGACTGATGATGTCTGCAACACCCAGCGCTGAAAGGCGTGTCAAGTAGCAAGCCTACAAGGCAGGTGAGTCTTACTCTTAGACTCATGCTGTATTTGTCCAACTTCACCCTGGATTACCCAGTGACTACTACGAAAGTGTGGTTGACGGCCAGGAAAGACTGGTTGGCGACTGGGGAAGACCAGAGACAGCGTGGAGAGACACGCATCGGGGGCAAAGGGGTCGTATCCCAACTTGCCTGGCCTATTCAACGGTCACCCACCTGATTA